TATCTCCAGCCTTCCACAAACAGAGGCCAGGGACACCATTCCTACCCCATGGCTAATAGCACTCCATGGACCCAACCTCCATGAATTTATCTAACTTCTCTTTAAACTCTGTTCTAGTTGTAGCTTTCACAGCCTCCTGTGGCAAGGAGTTCCACAGGTTGACTATGTGCTGTGTGAAGAAGAACTTTCGCTTATTAGTTTTAAACCTGCTGGCCATTCATTTCATTTGGTATCCTCTAGTCCTTATATTATGGGAACTAATGAAGAACTTTTCTTTATTCACCTTCTCCACACCACTCATGATTTTATAGACCTCTATCATATCCCCCCTCAGTCTCCTCTTTTCTAAGCTGAAAAGTCCCAGTCTTTTTAATCTCTCTTTATATGGGACCTGTTCCAAACCCCTAATCATTGTAGTTGCCCTTTTCTGAACCCTTTCCAAGGCCAAAATATCTTTTTTGAGGTGAGACCACATCTGTATACAGTACTGAAGATATGGTGTACCATAGTTTTATACTTCCCCTCCTTCTTCCCCTGGCTTCCCCCTTCCAGCTCCCTCCTCCCAGGTTTCTACCTCCCCTCTCCCACCCTCTCTCTTCCCCTCTCCCACCTCCTTTTCCCAGTCTCCCCAGAAGTTAATCCTCTCCTCCCCAGTTTTGTTAAATAAAGAGAGTTTCTATTTTTGAACACGTATCCTTTAATCTTTACATCAGGAAGGGGGGGGCTAGTGAGGGGTAAGTGGAAGGAGGTGAGGGAGGAATGGGGCACGAGCCTCCTATGGGGAGGACTGGGGGGCTCTGCAGGCTCCTCGGGGTGGAAGCTCTCCTAAAGGGCCTCCTGGATCCTGACAGCCCCCAGATTGACCCCTCTGGATGGCAGCCTGCGGCAAGTGCAGCCGGGCTGATGGCCGAGTGCTGTGATGTGCCGAGTGTGGGCACTCAGGGCACTCCAAGTCAGGACTGCTTTGCTGTCCCTCATCGAGTTAGACAAGCAAGTGGGGAACCCTGAGAACTGTCTGTCCGGGGTGGGGGTCGGGTCCCTTTAAGCACAGTCCTCGGCTAGCTTGAGGCAGCAGCTCCACGCTCTAAGTCCTAACCCGATGCCCTGCCGGCACTGGTTCCGGCCAGCCTTAACTTCGGTTCAGGGTCCACTCAATGTGGACATGCTATTTCGAATTAGCAAAATGCTAATTCGAATTAGTTTTTAGGTCTAGATGCACTAATTCAAATTAGCTTATTTCAAATTAAGTAATTCTAATTAAGTTAGTTCAAATTAGTGCTGTAGTATAGACATACCCTGAGAGACACTCCTCCACTGTGTGAAGATAAGGCAAACCAATTATTCTTTTATGAACCATTTGTGTATGATAGTGAGTCGTCTGCTTAGAATTTTTGCGTTTGGGATCTCTGCCATATGTACACCTGAAAGGGTAATGCCATGGGGTAGACAAAAATTTCATAACCATGTTGCTTTGTGTCCCTTTTATGTGAAAATCTCATCCTGACTTGCTTTCTCATTTAGAACGTGATGATGATGTTGTCCACCATTTTTTCAAGCGAGGGTCTCTGTGTGTATTCCATGTGAGAGAGATTAACAGGCAGTGAAAAAACAAGGGATGGGTGCAAAACACAGAAGTGATAACTGACTGAAATATTGCTGTCATCCATCGGGTGAATACTCTGTCAAGAAATGAACTGTGAATCGTCCATTTGTGGTCCATGTTAAAATCTCTGCTGAGACAGCCTGCTAGGAAGTTCTGCATCCCTACCAAGCATGCTGCTGAAAGGGTTATGTGATGGCACATGCACTAAGTCCAGATGTTAACTGACACTATTCAAAAAGGGAGAAATATCCTGGAGTTTTTTTTAAATTAGACTTTTCAAATAGCCACAGTTATTGAACTGGGCTTGATTTCTTTGCTTTTAGCTGACATTTCTCTGGAAATAATAATACATCTACATTTTAGAAAATATTATGCAGTGATTCTGGGATTTTGTGGCCAGAAAAAATTGAAGTTCATAGATGAAAATTTTGATTACAATATCTACTAATTCCAACATATTAAAATAGTCAGAAATTCATGCATAAACGTATGTTATCATTGTAAGATACATACCTCTTCTAGTAGAACAGGGAGACCCAATCTAATTGAATTCTCAAGAGTACGCAGGAAACCAGAGTCAGTGAGCTTAATTATCTTTAAACCGTATTTTGTTTCTTTGTTTCTTATCCATCGATTTGCCTGTGTAGGAAATAAGAGAGTGATCTCCAAGATTTGCTAAGTGTCCCATTTAACCAGGAAGTTTATTAGCATGTTTACCTCAATATTCAGAAGCCCAATTCTTAAGACCACTTTTTCGATCAGTAAAAGTAAATTAATTGCACCCACTCTTCAGAAGCATCATCAGAAAATACAATCTATGGCTGTTACATGACATAGTGTGATATTCAACTGTGCTGGTGCTATTGGTATTTCCCTGGTCTTTAAAGGCCCAGATTGTGCTATTGAAAGCACAGAATCATTTTGTGGAGGTAGTATGAGGCAGCACCCACTAAAGGAAGCTCTAAGAGGGACTGTATATCAGAGGTCACTGTCTCTCTACCAGCTCCCGGTGGCATTTTACACTGTGTGGTGCAGATTACTTCTTTTGGTGCACCCAATGCTGGTGTGGAGAGAGGGGGATTGGTCTCCTTCTCATCCCCATTAGGATGGGCTGTGCATTAGGAAGGAACAATGACTGTGCTTATCTAACCCACCCATAATTCTCCTAGCTCAGTCGGCAGCTTCTTTCTTCCAACAAGGACACCAGACCAGGAATGTCTGAGGAAAAGAAAAGGATGGTGCTGCAGGTGGAGTGAAGAAGGAAGAAATACCTATCCAGCCACCGTGGATAGTCAATTTAGACTTGGAATCTGTTCAGTGTAAAAATTAAATTGTAAAATTATATTCTCAGTTCTTTCATTGTGCTCACCTAACTCTTCCACTTATCACAATTTAGGGAAAAGGAGTGAACCGTGCAGAGGGCTTTTGCCTAATAAAATTGGCTGTTAGTCAATGGACATTTAACACTAGACTAAGGAAATTCAGATAACCACAACAGCATTGTGGTTTAAATTTTAGCACAAAAAAAGCCACAAATTGTGAGCCAGGTATAAGCTGGTTTTTCTTTCCTCTTTTTCAGGTTAAATAAAACAAACAACAACAACAATCTTTCATTGTATGAAATGCTTTCATGGCTTCAGCCATCTTTGTGACTCATTCCTAGACACAACTTCTCTCTCATCTCTCATCAAGGCATCATACATTTTTCGTATTGTGGAGGGTTTCTAAGATCACACATTATTTATCATTAAAAACCTTGCAGTAAAGTTTCATAGTACTCTATTCATAGTATTAAATCTATTCAAATTTGGATTGGAATGAGATGAACTTGTGGTATTTTTTTTAAATCGCTGGTTTCTAAAGGTGTGTCTACACTAGGAAGTTATTTTGAAATAAATTATTTTGGGAATTATTATTTCGAATGTAACTATTTCAAAATGAGCGTTATTCCCCGAGGAAAGCAGGAGTATTGATTTTGAAATAACCAGCATGTTATTTTGAAATAAAGGATTTGGTAGTGTGGACGCTCCGCTGATTACTTCGAAATAACTCCCTTGCGTAGAGCAGAGCTTACTGAAAATGAACGGGACAGATCCTGAGTTAGCATGAAGCACTGTAGCCCCACTGGAGTAGGCCTATTTGCACAAGCTGAGGGTCTGGTCCCAAAGCAGCAAAGAAAAAGGTGTCCGCATTAGAACTGTGCAGTACAAACACTTGCGGATGAGTTGAATTTTTGGAAAGGGAGCCGCATCAGCAGTTTGCAAGTAGTACTCACCTGATCCTGTGGGTCAATCATCAGTGGCCAGCGTCGCCCTCGAGTCACAAGAATCCCATTCTCAGTCGATACATAGTCACGTGGCAACCCATCCGTGTTCCACTGGCGAATTTCATAGGGATCTCCCAAAATGTTTATTAGACTGAAGTCTGGATTGATGGGAATCTCTAGATTCTGACATTTCTTGATCCAGCAATCTATCAGCTGAGATAGAGATCGATTAATTGTAGAAAAAAGTTCATAGGAGATTATATTACCTAAAGGGAATAATAACAATAACTGGTTGGACACTAGTTGGTAGCAACATTTATCATGATTGGACGACTGCTTGGCTATTTAGAGGGGACAAGTAAGTGCATCGTTGGTTCATTTCAGAATAGACAGGTCCTGTGTAAACTCTTCATAGTTGTCCCTGATGGCTGAATATGGACTCTGTGGACAATTTGGCTGAAGATCATTACTGCAATTGTGGGGGTCCGGTCCATATCGGATCTGTTCAGTGGTTAGAGCAATTCTACAGTGATGGTAGTTTGGTACCTTTCACAAGCACCACATTAAGGAGGAAAGAAAAGGAAATGGAGATTATTTCCACTCACCAGTTGCCTGTAAAGTGCTGTAAAAGCCCCATAATAAGCAACACAAGCAGCTGCTATGAATACATTCCCTATGATGTTGGAAATCTCGCCTTCAAAATTCTTGATGCTCTCTTCCCACCGAACTTGTTCATCTCCTAAGGCAGCTGTAAGCTTTCCAGCACGAGTGAGACGAGCTTGGGTAAGTGCCATATTCCTTGCTAAACAGCAATAAAAGCACTGGGCTGTGATTATTCTGCAAAAAGCCATTTTTTCCTAATAAACTTTTGCCTTGTTTCCTATCTTAGCTTTCTTCAGCTTCTACCCTTTATCCGAGCCTGAAGTTCTACAGTGACTTCCTGGCAAACCTCTTTTTGGCCTGTTCATTGAGTACCTCAGGACACACAATGGTGCACGACCTCATGAGCAGAGAAACAGCGGGGAGATCGCGTGCTAGTACCTCAGGCTTTCGACCCTTTCAGTGAGCTCTGCTGATGTGCATATTCACCGTATTGCTCTTGTGTACAGTCTGAGACTGTCTGGATCAGGGCAAGCTAATGGATCATGAACGTGACAGACTAATTGACCGGTTTAATGACTTGAAGAGGAATCACTTACCAAGGCTCTCTTTTTCTTCCAGGCTTTTTTCATACTGGTCTTGTAATGCTTGGATCTGATCCTCCACCTGTTTCAATTTCCTTTGCTTGTCTCGTAGGGTAGCCATGGTAGCATCAAGCTCCACCTAAGAATGTAAGGAAAGTTAGGCCATGGCTTTCAAATCTGGTGGCCCGATTTTCAGAAGAGCAGTAGTCAATGGAAGCAGCAGGTACCGAGGACTTGTGAAAATCCGGTCACTTATTCAGATGCCTACTTATAAGTAGCCTTTTGAAAAATGCAGCATCAAACCAGAACATTTGTGTCCTGTTAAAAAATAGCACTTTCATAATGAGGGCCTCTACCATTTGTCTAGGGAGTAAGTTATGAAACTCCCAGTCTTTCTAGTTTCTGCTGTAGCCAGTTGACACAGGACTGAAGGCTGGGGAAAGTCTTCCTGGGGCCACAGCTCTTTGACAACTCATCCCCAGATGACTTGTATTTAGTCAGTCTTGGAAGAACGAGGCGGCAAATTCAGGTGCAAATACCTAACTGTCGATCCTACCACCCGAATGGAATGCCCATCTGATGTTTAACTCAGCACTTTTAGAGACCGCAGGGAAAGGATCCTTGGAATGAGAAGTAACTTCTGGAGCAGAGCAGTGCAGCAATCCAGGGCACCACTGTCTGCTGGATTTGGCCCAAAGAGTTAAAACAACAATCCTGGATGAAAAAAATTCTGTTACTTGGATCAGAAGCTCTTTGGAGCAGGGGCTGATTTTTGGTCTGTGTACAACACACAGCACAATGGGCCCTGATCCATGACTGGCAATCCTAGGAGCTGTGAACTAACCTCATCTGAGTTATTCTAACTAATAAGACATTAGCAATATAGACACAAACCTGTGCAGCGTTTAACTTTTGCCTCTTTGGCTCAACTTCTTTGACGACTCTAGAGTATAAATCCATGGCTCTCACCCACATGCACATCGACCTACAAGCCCTGGACACCTTCTCTACTTTTTCAGGCACAAAATCGGGATTATTTATGTATTTCTGAAGCTTTAGCAATATTTGGGGCTTGATGTTTTCTTTATCATATTCTAAAAGTTTTTTGAGGAAATTGGAATCTCCAAGGAGCTGCTTTGCGGCTGCCCAGTCAGGCCTGAAAAAAAAAATAACAGTAACAGAATGAGACAGAGTCCTGATCTGAGAACTTGATCTTAGATGATGCTTTTCAGGCCCCTTCATCTTGCTTTGTAGGGTGTTTCGAAGAGCTTGTCCACAATCATAGCAACATCATTTACATTTTTATATCCTATAGACTAGATCTCCTCTGCAGGACACATGTAAGCAGAGGGCTAAGGTGCCCAAGGAAGGCTAAGAAGTGCTAACACAGTGAGACTGTAGCTTTGCTGTTCCAAATTGTCACTTAGCGCTAAGAAACTAGTGCTTTGTGAAAGTGTGAATTGAATTTCAGGTGGATGTCAGCTACTGTGTAGGCAAATTTGCTACTTCTAGAAGAATGGATCCTTTAGGCTCTCTGACACTGAAGTTCCAGCTGACTCACCACAGGCATGAGTCTGTACTTTATTCTCCTGAGACAATCTTTTAACCCAAGCGTTCAGCCTTTATTTCTCTCTCCAACAACCATATTATTTTCTGGTCTGGTTTGGTCCTGCCAAGGAACAACCTCTTTTCACAATAAAACCATGGAATCTGGCCTTTCCTCAGAGACAAGCTTGTACAAATCTGGATTGGCTCATATGAAAATGCAAAGCCACCGTAGTCAAAAATTTTGGATGTGGTCCGTATGGAGAACCCATCATCACCTTGGAATTCAGAGAATCAGAACTTCAGCTGGTGAGAATCCATGTAGCATCTTTGAGGTGCCTGGAGCTATGCCAATTCAGAACAGCTGAAGATCTGGCCAAGAGAGACTTGTACTGACACGATATGTTAGGAAACAATCATCAGCGAAAAATAAGATGACCAGTGTCTTAATGGTTCAAAAAGCAGTCTTCAAGAGCTCAGTGAGAAATTCTCCCAGTAGAAGAGAGAAGAGAGTTACTAAAAAGTAACCCAATCTCAAATTAAATAATACATTTGTTTTAAAGAAAAACTACCTTATATATAATCAAGAATTCATATCCATAGTTAGGAGTAAAATACTCAATGGTATTTACGCTTTAAGTGAAAAATATTCTGTAAAAGGGCGAATTTGACCTGTGAAATGTTCAGTTTTTGAAATATGGATTGTTTATCCATATTTTAGCATAGGGCTTTTCATTATTTTCCTATGCTAGCTTATTGATCTTCAGATACTCTTCATGCATTAATTGCTCTATTGCTCGAGTCATACCAACGCTTTATGCTACTAGAATTTGATGCAAGTGTATCAGAGATGACCAGTTTTATCATTAAGGATTTTTTTGGACATGCTTATAAAATAATTCCTTGTATCAAAGACATGCGCATAGTATGTCATGCAAAATTAATTGCAACCCTATAATTTAGTCTCTTTTTTCTCTTTTTTCTGGTTAAAAAGGGTACACATGATCTGTTACTATAAATTAGCAAAGGACCCCAAGACTCAAAGTTTGAAACTGGTTCTGAAACTTTGAAAAAGTTCAAAACTGGTTTAGATACTTTGAAAAACTTCACAAAGTTTGACATGAGGTTTTAGTCCTGCACACTCGTGAGAACTAGACCAATTACAAATTATAGAGGCCAAGCTTGATCTGAATTTGCCCAAAAGTCAGGAGTGTTTTGACTTAGGATTTTGGTTCAAGCCCATCTCTTTCATAAATGTAAACACCACATCATGGTAGATAATACAATTTGTCTTAGTAGAGTATAGAAAGTATAGTGCTTGAGAGACCCACAAAGCAAAGCTAAGCAGTTGTGACTACTGCTGTCAAAGAGACAAAGCTCTGATTCAACCAAAACTGCCTTCCACATGGCTACGTCTACACTGGCCCCTTTTCCGGAAGGGGCATGTAAATTTCATCAGTCGTCGTAGGGAAATGCGCGGGGGATTTAAATATCCCCCGCGGCATTTAAATAAAAATGTCCGCCGCTTTTTTCCGGCTTTTAAAAAAGCCGGAAAAGAGCGTCTACACTGGCCCCGATCCTCCGGAAAAAGTGCCCTTTTCCAGTCTTCCTGTTAAATGTGAAGAAAACATTTCACTACAGAAGAGCTGGGGGGAGGGGGAAGAAAATCAAATAAAAAAACTAAAGAAAAAGATCAACAAATGATGGATTAAGATAAATTAAAACAAAATACTACTGAATGGCTTACTTTGCATTTAAAAGAATGGAGATTGCTTCCATTACAGTCATGACAAGATCCGGAGGCTTGGTAAAAACTCTAATTTCAGATATATCGGCTTTATCTAAAGAGTCAAGAGCTTTATTTGCCGCCTCTAAAGCCGGGAGAGCTTCGTCCAGATCCCGCTGAGCATCATCAGCAATTGCCTGAGTCTCTTCCGCTTTCACTTTTGCAATAGCTTCATCTTCTTGAACAACTCGGCGAACCTCAAAGTTAAAAGGTTTCAAAATACAAGCGTGATGTAATTGTTCTGTCCATATTTCTTTAATGGGTTTCCTTAACACTCACTTCTGTGGTTTTATGCATAAAGCATGCAAACTAGAATTAGAAAGCTTCCCCAGTCCTGACACATGCGGAAAGTTATTAACTGGAGAAAGATACCAGAATCCCATTACTTTTGAGGGGCAATGGTCAGTGAAGGCCAAGGATCTGCAAAGACAGATCAAGCCCTCTGGTGCCCTGGCTTTATCCTACCACTTGCACTGGCTGTATTGTCACGGGCCCCACCTCAGCAGCTGTACCCCCCAAGATGTGTGTCATGGAGTGCACAAGCAATGTTAACGCTTCTTGGAGCAGCATTAACAAACATGGAAAAGGTTTGCATAGACTCTGTTGCTTCCATAGAAGAAATGTTTGTATGGGTAGAAGCTACCGACACTATAAATTGACCTTTTTTTCCTCCTCCCCCTCTCTCCTCTTTTCTGCTTGACATTTTTAGGGTTTCTGTGCCCGTCTGTGAATCTTGCTCCATATTTGTCATCTGAAGAAGGGGGTGAGGCCCACGAAAGCTCGTGATACTGTCTATATTTGTTTGTCTCTAAGGTGCTACAGGACCACTCGTTGTTTATGTTTTTTTATAGAAAAGCAGGACACAATCTGCCTTTCCTTTCCTGAAGTCCCTGCCAAGGCTCAGCTCCACACTTTTAGGCCAGTGTGTCACATCTAGGAGGATGGCATAGAGCCCATAATTATTAATCTTTATACCCATTCCTTCATCTATGAATTTCTAAGCAGTAACACACATTAGCTCATAAATATTACAAGGAAATTCTTTGTACCTGATCAGCATTTTCTTGATCCACTGCTAATTTTTCCATCAAAGCCTCAACATCCAGTGATTTCTCTACAAGGACCGGCTCTAATGCTGAGAGATCTAATTTCATTTTATCTACAAGCACATTCGTCTCTAATAGTTTGGACAAACCGTTCTTCACTCGGTCCCGAGCCTGAAGCACAATAAAAACAGTTTGCATACTTAATTATGTTTTCCCAAACACCAACTCTAAAAAGTACATCTGTCCTTGTTCCAAATACTGTACTTCCAACAAGTTCTAACATGATAAAAATATAAACTTAGCTACAGGTTGAATCTCTCTAGTTGTGCACTCTCTGGTCCAGCAACATCCATGGTCTGGCATGATGTTAGTTAGCCAGATGTCCACTTATCATGGGTGTGGCTAAGTTTCCTGTAGTCCCATAAAGTTTGTTTACAGCCACCAGTCCTGGCTCTCAGTTTTCTGTGCTGTAATTTAGCTCTAATTTATCCCTATGGGTAAGTCTAAACTCCAAAAAATGAGGGGTACAGGATCTTTCAAAAATGGCTTTTCTTTATGAAAGAACTGCATCTAGACCATGGTTTCACTTTCGAAATAGTGTTTTTGAAAGAATGCTGTGGTGCAATTATGCAAATGAAGCACGGGAAATTCAAATCCCAGCTTCATTTGCGATTTCGATATGTCTAATTTACATCCCTCTTTCAAAAGAGGGATGTAGTCTAGACATACCCCAAATGTCTTCTAACAGCCCAGGAAGCAGTGGGAGTGTTGGTAATGCTGCTAGACAATACTGACCACCAGTGGTCTGGCAAATTCTCCGGTTCAGCACCAGTCAGGTTCCAAGGGTGCCGGACTAGAGAGGTTCAAATCTGTACACATATATTTTAACATGCTGTAAGTTTTAGATCAGTTATAAATTATTTTATAAATTATTTGTATAAGAAAGTTATTTTAAGGGTGACTGTAATAACAATGTTATGTTAGTATGGATGTGACAGTATTTATACAGACAAAAGAGAAAATTGGCATACATGATCATGTTTAAGAAACAAAAGATGCCAGAAGTTTAGGCTCAACTTTGATTTTTGCTAAATGAAACATTTTACAAACATGAATATTATTGCAATCTTTTTATACAAGGTTAACAAAAATCAATAAAAATCTTTATTTTTCTTTAGCTTCGATTTAATCATTGTTCTGAAATGTTTGTAGCCCGAGCATCTAGTCTTAGGACAGGAGATGGGGGAAGTGTAATGACTCCCCTTTTTTTCATTTTCCATGTGACTGAAGTGCAAAACAGTAGCAAAAAGGTCAAATAGTAGAAAGTAAATTAGACTTCAGAAATGCCTTATTTTAATACGCACTGCTTAGAAAAGTCAAATTGAGCTGGTTTACTACAAAAGAATTTCAAGCCATTTTACTTATCGCAAACCCTGAAGATGCTGCACTTTGAAGGTAAAATAATACAAGCATCCGAGGGGAAGTAAGACACATTTCTGAGACGCAATAAGCAGAGATTTTTGTTTAATAAAATCAAACCTACTGAGACCAGCTGCTTCCTTTTTTCCCCCAGCATAGACAAGTAGAGGTTGATTAATTCTAAGTATGAAGTAGGAGTTGTGTAATAGCGTCGCCGCAGCTCAGCATAATATCGATCTGCCATTTCCGTCACGCTCATATGAATATCTACACACATGACTGAAACTTTCTCTTTCAACGCGTCACTTCCAAGGTCAACATTCAGGAAAAATGTTCTGGATACCGAAAGAAGTGCTTCTCTGGGCCACTGTGAAAAGGAAAAAGATGATCAGAAGAACAGTCATTCACTTCATCATGGTCCAAACCAGCATTTCTGGTGAAATATGGTAAGTTCTTGATACAAACTAGATGTTTTCTCTGGACCACTGCAGAAAGATTACATTGTATTAAAAAAAAGTTGTGAAACGGCCCTGTGAATTCTATAAGCCTATTGCTATGAAAACTAGCCAGCCTTTGATGGGATGTTTCTGGGTAAGACTTGGTGGGTTGGGGTGGATTTAGTGATTCCTACAAGCTATGTAGACTTTGAACCCCATCACATGACCAAGCAAAGGTCTGCAGGCTGAAAGAAATCATGGCAGTGATTCTTTTGTGTCTCACCCCAGGTCACCTAGACCTTCAGCTTTCTTGCTTTGGCCTGCTGTCCCAGGACTGAGGAGAGGGGACCAAACAGAAATCAGCATGCTGTCTCATTTAGACAGCAAAGCCCTAGAAATCTGAGTCCTCTAAAGGACAGTGAAGAGTATGGATGGTGTGGGGAAGAGGGAATTGTTGGCTTCTGCTCCCATATCAGCTTGTAACATGAGGGCTGCAAGGGATAAAGCAGGACTGCTGAACTGATGCTTTGTCTGCACCACTAGAGGAAAAGAATCTGGTCAAAGACTGTAAAGATGTCAAGCCCTGAGGCCTGTGGACAAGTCTCAGCTGCTTCTAGTTTGTCAAATGTCTCAGACAGATGGAGAGGCCAAGATCCAATATGTTATCAGCGGAGTAGAAACCACAATCAGTTATTTAAGATACTCTAATTAATAAGAATCTCAGGATTAACTATCATTGAAAAATAACACACAGGCCATGTAAGCCAGGATGACAATCAGGAGGTTAGATTTGTACTTGATATTTTATAACATAGTATATATCAAAACAATGTTTATTTCTGAGACATCTCAAAGTCGTTACTCTGTGGATCTTAGTACGTACCTGCACAAACCAATCAATAGTACAGCAATTCACCAGGGATGGAAACATCCGACATCGCGCTCGGAAAGCTTCTCCTACAGGACTCATACAGAGGACAATATGCAGCTTCTGACGAACTCGGCTAATGAAGTATTGAAATACCTGTTTGAAAAGAACATACAGGTTCTCACAGCGAACAGTAAAAATAAAGACAATGAGGTTGTTTGCTCAGAGTAAACTGTGGGACAACTCTGCTTTGGCTGAATGATCTAACAGGCCCTTTCAACCTCTATAGCTAGCCTCAGAAATTATCTATGACCAGCTGCACTCTTCTGTCCAAGGGTAGAATATGAATGTTTTGTCCACACATGGCAGACTAGAAGTACAGGTTAAAACTCTCTAGTCCAGCACCCTCAGGACCTGTGCCAAACTTGAGACTAGTGCCGAACCTGAGAATTTACTGGACCACAGGTGGTCAATATTGCCTAGGAGCGTTACCAACACTCCCACTGCTTACTGGGCTGTTTGAGGATATTTAGGGGTAAATCAGAGCTAAATAACAGCTCAGAACACTGAGAGCCAGGGCTGGAGGCTGTAAACAAACTTTATGGGGCCACAGGAAATTTGACCACACCCATAAGTGGACATCCGGCTAACTAATATCATGCCCGACCACAGATGTTAAGGGACCAGAGAGTGCTGGACTGGAGAGGTTCAACTTGTACTTATTGAAAGTCCTGGAAATTTATTTTCTTGAATGTAAACAAAATGTCATGTTCTCTTCTTTTACATTATATTTTCTGGATAAATACGAGACAGATAAAAGGCATGTGTTAAAATATATTTAATTCTTTGACAATAAGAACTTTGGTAATGTCTATTTCCAATGTTTTCCGATACAATGAATTTATATTTACAATATATCTCCTACCTCATCTCTGTTCCCCTCTGGTATTCCTGCTTCTTTAGCTTTGGGCCTGGTAGGGGCCAGAACCTGTTCCAGTTCATCTTTTTCAAACAAATTAGGTACTTCCCCAGAATTGAGAATATTGTTTATGTCTTCTAAGAACTCCTCTACAACAATCTACAGGTAAGAATTTATACACATTAATTAATATGAAATCTAATATGTACGTTCTCTGTAAGTGTAAACATGGAGAAAATCAGGAAAATAAAAATAACGGTGATGAATACGTAAAACTATAAAATTGTAAGTAGAAACTTCAATGTTTTTAATTGAAAAAAATGCATTTGAAAATTCTTCACTGTTAAATAGGTGATGCAGATACATCAAAATATGAACCCTATTTATTTTCTCTCCTATGCCCAGAAGTCTTAACAAACATGTGGCCTCTAATCTGATTCACGCACACTGTTTCGTATGATGTTTGATTTCGGTCTGTCAAAGTTACCACTATTGTGTGTAGGATCTTGTCATGTGGTCAACTTTATTGTGTTCACTTTACTACTTTGATATTAGTCTGTTTTGTGTTCAGACAGAGGACCGATATTTTCATCTGCTAACCAACCAACAGAAGAAGCTGCTCCTGAACAGGTGAATTGTCTTTTTCTCCAACTGTATCTCACCGGCATAGCACATTCTGATTCACAGATAATCGCAGTGCTGCCACTTTGCCAGGTGAAGGAGCACAGCTTGGTCCCTGCCCCATTCTCTGTCCTTTGTTCCCAAGATGCCCTTGTCCTCTCTCAGCTGCATGTGCAGGGGTGCCTGGGTTCTGTGTGATGTAAGGCTGGCAAGTGGAAACCAGCCCTTAACTTTTCAGATTAACCAAAGGAGATTTTTGATAATTATTGTAAATGTTCAGATATTTACCAGAAACCTAGCAACCTCTGTTTCACAAGCAGGTGTCTAGTTTTTATAGGGTGTATATATTAGGAACCTAGCGCATTCAGGTCTCTCTCATTGCTAATATTGCTGGTTTTGTGTATACTCTGACCTCTCATGCAGGGAGCATAATAGCAGGTAGATGCAATTTCTTCTCTCTCCAGAGAGTGGAATGAGTCACTTTGCAACATAACCCTAACATTTTCTGTCATTTTTCTAATTTTCATCTAGCCATTGAGACTTTATTGCTATTACTTAGCAATAAACTGCCGATAATGCCAACAGGCTGTAATGCCAATGGAATCTCGATTCAGAGGCTAAACTCCTGTGAAATTACTCCTGTATTTTTAGATGCCCTGCTCCATTTCCAGTATGAAATGTTTAACACTTTTCTATGGTAAGTAAACCGATACAACAAACGTATATACATTATAAACACTGATTTTTTTCCCTACTGAGAATATCTTCCTTTGCGTAATTATTTACTTCTAGCTTCTGATCACGACCTGTCCTTTTTTCATCCTATGTGATCACATCATTTATTTTCACTAACATCAATCACTTTCTACTTTTTAAGTGCCTTGAAAAAGAAACCAATGGAGCAGATCTTCAATTGGTGAAATTCAGAATAGCTCTATTGACTTGATTTTTCACTTCTGCTCATCCTTTCCCCTTCAGAAGATTATCTTTGGTCCTGTCCTGATTTTGGCCCACTCTTCCTGTCTGACACCATATTAACTTACCATCTCAAGTCTTCTCTTCCTTCTTCCTGTACTGCCTTCCCATAATTCTCCAAAGCTGGAGGGAGCTCTTTCATTTACTCCTACCAAGAACTCTCCTCTTCCTTCCTCTGAATCACCTCATCTAAGATTATATTTCTTGATTTAAGCTTCTAACCTCACTAACACATTTTTTACTCCATAGAAACACCATATAAAATAAATAGCTTGTTAATGTGTATGTCACCACATTTTAATGATAAAGCCAACTGCATTTCTGGTTGCCCCATTAAACGTACCTGTGTGTCTGTGAAGAGGAAAACCATATCTTTGTCTTCTACTCCTGCCATCTTATACAGCTTCCTCAGATCGTCATGAAAACTGTCGTAATTATAACCACGGCTAAGTTCTATCTGAAAGCATTTGTACCCACATATATGAGAAGCAAGCCTAGTTAGAGACTGTTTGCCAGTACCTCCTACTCCAACAAGCAGAGCATTTCCTCTTTCCTGACGGATCATCCGAGCAATTCTACAGGAGAATCAAACAGAATTAAGAGTAGTAAAAATGACAGCATTTTCAAACTGTGATATCACACAGGTATCATACTTCAGGGAAAGTCCTATAATTCTGCAAGTCAAACAATGAAATTCTCCTCTGTACAAAGCCAAGATCCCAATCAACGTTCCCTGAAAGTTGTGCACTTGTGCAGCTGCTCAGGGGAGATTCAAATGCCACCCAGCTGATTAGCAGAGTGCCCACAGCCACATTTTGTTTCTGCTGGTGGGGCACATCTGCACATGCCTCAATGCACATAAACATTTATTCCACACATGGATGGAAAATCCACACATGCATGAAAAGATTAGAAGGAACATTCCCTGCCATGCCCAGCACCTTTGGCAAGGAACACATGCAAATTCGCACAAGCCAAGCTCAGGGAAACATTACAGACACTGACCTAGCTGCATCATTTCAGGGTAAGTTCACTCAAAGCAAAACTCAGCTTTCTTTTGAGATCCCTGTACTACAGTCAAAATCCACCCATATATACCTTAGATTCCCCAACCCAGCTGGGCTATAGAATAGAGGTAACCCTTAACTGAAAATAGCTTTTGACATATTCTGACTTCAACAAGTTACTTATTATGGATAATTTCCAAGAAAACACTTTTGGAAGATCCTGTCTGCCTCTCTGATTGCAGGAGGAGTTTGCAGGGCAGGCATCTGAGAAAATACTCTTTTTAATTGCTTACTTTATCAATCACTTTCAGGGTGTTATTCTCATTTACTCTGCTTTGGACATAAAGTGGTATAAATAATAATTACTCTCACTTCAAATTGCTCTATACTCACTACGTGAGTCTTGGAATATGCCATGTATTAAATATTTATGAATTATACTAATACATAGATATATAACTTTATAGCTAGGTAGAGAATATAAACAGCATAGCTCAAGTTTGGATTGAACAAGGACTCCAAGATACCTTCTGTAGTTTTTAAGAGCATGCCACTAGGTTTAATATTGATGGGCCCCACTGTTGATTTCCATTTTGGACTGATTCTGGAAGAATTTCAGTTTCCTAGAAGCTGTATCTCATGAACATCAAACCTCACTTCTGGAATAAATCCTTTACCAGTTTGTGACACAGTATTACAAATAAGGGTACATCTGTACTGTACACTTACTTCAAAATAAGCTATTCTGGAATAGTTATTCTGCAATATCTTATTTCAAAATAGCACGTCTATACTGCAGGGAAACCTTAAAATTAGTCCGAGGCAGGCTTCCCTAATTTAGATGTGCTATCTTGATTTAGAGCCCCAGGAGGCACTGGGGAGGAATAACTTAGAATGGCCTTGGTGAGGGACTATTTCGAAATAGCAGAAGTGGAGTGTCTACACGCCTCATTTCGAAATAGCTATTTTGGAATAGGTGTTATTCCTCATAGAATGGGGTTTATAGATTTTGGAATAAGCCATCCATTATTTTGAAATTATTTCAAAATAACGGATTGGTTGTGTAGACACTCACATTGTTATTTCAAAATAATGCTAGTTATCTTGAAATAATGGTGCAGTGTAGATGCACCCTTAATGACTGGCCAAATTTTCAAAGAAGCCTCCTCAATCTGCCCTCTATTTGTGCATGTTCAGAATATTAGCATACAGGCTGCTCCCGACTTGCGACGTGATCCGCTCCGGGGATAGCGTCACAGGTTGGGGGTATCGTAACTTGAGCTCGCATTTCATAATGCGGGGCCGAGGATGTAAGTTGGGGGATTTCGGTCCCTTATGCACTTATGGAAAAGGTTGTAAGTGCAAGGGGTCGTAAATCGGGCTGTTGTAAAACGGGGGCCTCATGTATGTCATTTTTGTGAACTTTTAAAAGGACAGAATTTATACACCCCAAAAAGATTTGCACTTAATCTGGTTTGGTTTGAGTGCAGAAGCGGTTTCTGTAAGTTCTATATTTTGTGTGCACAAGGGACAACTACAGAGATTTGTTCCAGAAACTCACATCAGTGTAGTATCTGCCTAGCTGAGGATTGCGTCTACCAAATTTATTCACACAAATGGAAATCCTGTTTTGAATATTTGGTTCTCTGTCCACTAGGATCAAAACTTCTAATACTAGATGCCTTAAATTAGACTCCAAAACCTGTACTTAAAAAGCTAGGCACCAGTGGAGGTGCAGAGGCTAACAACGCCCAGCGCCTTCCATGTCCACGTTGATGACAAGTCTTCTGAAGCAGCATGGGATTTCATGGGTACCCTGATGATCACTCACAGGGCTATGTCAGATAGTTATTAACTCCACTCATGGCACAGGGCACACTCTTGATACAGGGTTCAGCATAGGTTTATGCCTCCTTCCATCTCAGCTTGACCACCAGCTTACATTTGAGGGCAGGATTCATGTAAGATATTTGCTTGGTAGGGGCTCCATGGTTAATTCTCTACATGTTTTAATTCATCCTTGCAGCATATAAACTTGTGACACACACATTTCAATGCTTCTCAAAATGACTTAAATTCACTTGACTGATCTGATCATTACCTTAAAACACAGATACATCTTAGGCACTAGGTACTTTACCAGAAACAACACAGTCCTGTACCTTGAAACATGCTCGATAGCATCCTGGAAGAACACCAGCTTTGTTTCCTTAGAATTTGAGATATTGTAGTCATCCAGATAATCTTGTAAAACTGATATAATCTTGTCCATATCAGTCAGATCCTCATATATTCGATCTGCTTTATCTGCACCAACCTGAAAGGAAATTATTTGAGGAAAATACGATAAATGAGATCAAAATGAATGGACAGAAATTATAGGGCTGAATATCTCTGCAACCTGTTAGTCAAGATTTTCAACACTTGGGTCCTAGAGGTAGGCTCCTAAATCCCATAGTTAGGCATCTGAAAGGCACACTAAGTGCTAAATATCCAGCAGTTCCCTCTGACTTCAATGTGTTCATTGGGGAAATTAAGAAAAAAATCAGGGATTAGATCCATTTTCATTTTAGATTTGCGATTTGTTAAGAGCAATCTCATCCTTCTCTTGCTTCTTTTATACCCACGGCCAAAGTTTGCAACTGGTCTCCAATCATGCTTTTCGTTATACACCTAGTGCGTTTTCTACCAAATCAGCCCTTGCATTTAGTTCAAAGAATCCAGCTGTTGTGTTTTTATCTCATTTACTAGCTAGCCTCTTGTACTGAATTGCAACCTGCATTTTACATGAATCCTTCCCTACTCAGTAAACTTCATAACGAGATCTCCGCTGGGCCTAACTGCAACAGATTTCCTCACAAGTTACTGCTTGCAGAAGTGAGTTGAAGCAATTTAAAAACTGTCCTAGTGTAGGGAGAAAAAAGAATAAAAATTGAACGTGTATGCTCTGTGACAGAAACAATGCCTCTCCACAGGTCCCTGAGGCCCCAGCGGCCTGTGTCCTGGATATGTTTGATTATATGCACACTTGTTCCTTAGATCAGCTAGCAAGTTGGGGGCAGTTTATCTAATTGAGTGCATATGGTGCAATTTAAATCCTTTCCTAGTATAATCTCTTTGTTAAATGACACTAGCTTTTTACAAATATCCATTAAAGATCCTTGGCATGAGTCATAAGTTGTACCACTGATAGCTTCCTTTCCCATCTCTGTTCCTGTCAGGATCCAAAGATCAAATATCTACCTGGAATCTACTTCTGCCCCTGGAATGCCATACTGTTTAGAAAGAACAAGCTATCCCTTATCACCATTTCTTAGTACAGCCTCTAATGGAAAGCGCCTGATGAAATCACTTCCTCTTGAACCCCCTTTTCTCCCCAGGTATCTTGGGGGAAGTAACTTTATGAAAACAATCTGGACATATTTCAGCCAATTATTTCATAATTAGGGTCACTGAATTTTGCCATTCTCTGATGATCAGTTACAGAGGCAGTGAAAATGTTAACAACTTCCTCTGGTGAAAGTACCTTAGCTACTATATCTGATTTTTAGATAGAAGGCTATTCACCTGTTCCTAATATAAGGGGACCAGTTCTTGGATTCTATCTCTATGCAGTCACTCTCTTTACAATAGTACGTTATTCCCCAGTAGTCAGTCTGCAGGCACAAACACTGTGTGAAACCCCATTTTTACTAATACAGACACTTTATCGAGATGCCAAAGGACTACTTCTCTTCTAAATATAACTTAAAGGGTCATATTCAATTTTGATATACCAGGCACAATTCCATTCACTTCCATGGACATGTTCCTGATTATTGCATGCATCAGTGAATCAAGCTCATGGAATTTAGGATGTTTATGCTGAAATCATACATGTTACAAACTCTGCAATTACATTAAACTAAGCTAACAGAAAGTAAATAGTGTGCTATTAAAACATGGGCTTATAATAAACTCACTTTAATGAAGTCCCCAAAGATGATTGGTTTTCTTACAAAGTAATCTGGGTCAACTGGGACTCCAAAATGTTTGCCTACAAATTAAAATCCTTGATTAGATAGGTTTGGGTAACATATTTATATGTCTAATGTAATATAAATGGAGAAAGTTGATTTCCTTACTGGCCATTTCGGATAACATAGAATGAAAATATTGTTTATCTTCACTGTTGATGAGGCGGTCATGGAAAACTCTCTGACACTCATGGCAAAAAAGTCTGAAGATCTGTGTTTGGTCTCTGACTGCTCCAGAATCACATTGGAGAATGCCTGCGTGAATAGTACAGGAATAACACTTTCACTCACATAACAAATTCTGATCATTAATTTCTAAACAATGTTGAAATAACCCTTTTAAAAACACAGGAAAGAGAATGTATTATTGTGAAGAGAAATTCCTGGATGAGTTTCAAACGCCCAGATACTGAGTGCCTCAGCACAATCATACATTCAGGCTATGTCTATACTACAAGATTTGCAGGAAGAGGCAATGCAAATGAAGCGTGGATTAGCATTTTCTTGTGCTTCATTTGCATATTCTCTTCCAATCCATTTTTGCGCAAGGGATTTTTGCGCAAAAACAAGCAGTGTGGATGTTTCCTTTTTGTGCAAAAACCCCGCGAGCCTTATGTCTCAAAAAAGGAGGTATAACTATTTTGCATAAAAGGGTTTTTTTGTGCAAAAAGGAAACGTCCACACTGCTTGTTTTTGCGCAAAAATCCCTTGCGCAAAAATGGATTGGAAGAGAATATGCAAATGAAGTGCAAGAAAATACTAATCTGCACTTAGTTTGCATTGCCTCTTCCGGCAAATCCTGTAGTGTAGACATAACCTCATTGGAAAGAAACCAATCGAGGGATAGGGGCGTGTTACCTTGAAAATGGAAGTACATGTGAACAGTCAGAGAGAATGTTTACACAAGAGGAGGTGGTTGTAGCAGAAAGAAAGAGAGAAAGAAATTAAAGTGCAAGACATCTCTAAATAAATAAAGGAAAAGTACTAGAATAGGAATGAAGCAATCAAGCTCCTACTATTATATAGAGAGAAACAGAGCTAGGAACTGACTGGCTTTACAGAGATGGTGGCAAAAATCATGACTGGGAAGTTAATACAGAAGGATAGGGCGTATATAGGAGAGATGTGCAGAGAAAAAGGGGTGGGAATACTGAGTTTATTATTAATGCTAACAATATTACATGTATCCACTATGCACCAAAGTCTTGTCTCACATAAAACAACATATGGCTATTTATAATGTCCTTATAACATGCATACAAATACGTACTGCACACAAGCACTGAGGTGAGACAGAAACAGAGATTAAAATACTAGAAACATGACATTGGTTTTATGGATCAGACATCTAATTGAGTATATTGCCTCCAGTATTGACAAGTGTCAGATGCTTCAGAGGAAGCCTAAGACCCTCCTCCCTACAAATAAAAAAAAACTACACAAAGCCCATTGCATAGTATCATACATGGAAGGAAAAGATTCCTTCTAGGCTCCAGCCATCAATCATATTATGCCCTGAAGCATAAGAGTGAATTCTCTTATAAGGTTAGCTTGGATAGCTACAGATGATATTTGTGGTAATAAAACTGTCGAGCCACAACTGTCTGCCCTAAGTGAAGAGTTCCTACAACTTTGAACTCCCCAGGCTGGCCATATGCCACATCAGGTATTACTAGTTTTAGTACCCTGCAACTTCTTCAGGGAGTTAAGAAGTCTACTCATTCTTTAACTATGGGACAGGTAATCAAGGAAGAACAGCCCATCTTTTACAATGTCTTTCACAATTCTGAACACTATTCAACTCCCTCTAACTTTTCTCATTTCGAAGGTGAATAATCCTGGCCTTCACAATCTCTTGTGCAGTATGTGAATCCAATCATACTTCTTGATGCCTTTTTGTGAGATGCTTCACTTCCTACTCTTTAACTTTAGAAACTGCCCAGTGCACAACGCAGGGATCAAAGCACAGAGGCACAACAGTAGAGGAGCATGTTTTGCATAGGGCTCTTGGATGCAGACTATGCAGTCTGAACTCACACAGCTGGTACACTTATTCAGCCACCTGTCTTAGAAACAATCAGTTAGGCTTTGTGGGTGCTTACACTGTTCCTAACTAATTTCTCCTACCTTTTGAACTAGGGCAGGGTTTGCCTCTTTCTGTATAATGTGGCAATTGGAGGAAATCATGCTCTGCTCTTAGACTGCAAGCAGAAAAATGGCTAAAAAAAGATATTATTCCTTGCAAATTACATACTTTGATCTAGAAAGATAACACATTTCAGAAGCTATAATACAGTCACTCCCCGACTTATGAACACACCGACTTATGACCATCCGTAATTATGACCAACCTCCCATTAACCACCATTATAATATTTTCAAGTTGAGAACCATGTACGTCAAGTTTTTCGAACAGCGCAGGCAGCGCGTTTAAGGGTATTTCCAACTTACGATCAAATCAAGTTATGACCAGGTGTTCAGAACATAACCCGTTCGTAAGTCGGGGACTACCTGTACTGAAATAGAGAATGAGACGTGCTTAGAGAGTCCTCACTGGAGAGAAAGACTGGACATCTGAAAATACACTATAGTAACCAGAAAAAATACTACGTCAAAACCAAACATGTTTTACCTTGCACACACTTTGACAAATCACGTAAATTAAATACATAATGGGATTTTGCAGGAGTTGGGAGAAGATCGATGCTCATTCTTTCATATATTTCAACAGCAGCATCCACTATACATGTTGCTGTCTGCTTTACTGCTGGAGAGAATTCAGCCAAAAAGCCCTTTAAGATTGCCTATATTCAGAACAACAACAACACAAAAAATAAGACACACTTTAGAACAGAGCATAAGGGATGTTTTCATTTGGTCTGCTGTCATAACATGCTGAAAAGATCAGGGTTTGTTTTTAATTCAAATGAGCTATGATTCCAATCTGTAATCATTTAAAGAAATTTAATTTGAAAAGTTTATGATAAAGAAAAATGAGCCAAAGCTACAAGCACACAAAAGGTAAGAGATAATATATTAATTTAACGAAGACATTAAACAGGTTGCCTAAATCTAATGGCTGGATTTTCAAAAGCACCCAGCAGCCCTCAATGGAGTTTTGTGGACTTAGCTAGGCTGGGAAGGGAAGAAGCTAGAATGCTTTGCAGCATGGCTCTTCCAAGCTGCAGGACAGCTAACTGGGAGCCACACAAAGGAGCAGTAAATTGGAGCAGCCCCAGGGACAATGCCAATTTATGCTGGTGTCTGGCTAAACCTAAGAACAGACCAGAATTAATGAGAAACAAGGGCAGCTGAAAGCTACTGTTATTGCACGTCTGGGGTAGGTCTATACTATGAAGAAGATTGACCTTCCAGAGAAATTGATCTTCTACCATTCAATTTAGCAGGTCTAGTGTAGACCCCCTAAATTGAATGCTGAGGGCAGCCCCCATCAGCATCCTATATACCTCATTCTGTGCAGAGGTAGGGAAGCCAACGAGAGCGGGTGCTCCTGTTGGCCTCTCACAGTGTAGATGCAGCGGCGGCTCAGCTCAAGGTAAGCCGAATCCACCTTCGTATTTAAGCCAACCTACCTAGTCTAGTGTAGACTAGGCCCCAGAGTCCTCTTATGAAGCATAGCACAGAATCTGGCCCTAAGATCTCCTTGGTCACAAGATAGGGATGCAAAACAGGGCATTGAGTGATGAATTAAAATAAGCATGAAGGCTAAAAAAGAAGTCCACTGAGGAAAAATAAAATTAAACTTTCCAAACAAATGTGACTTAAGAAAATATTTTGGTGAATCCAAAATAATTTCAAGCATATGAAAAAACATAAGGACCAACAGTTGATCTGCCAAAATAAACAGAATAGTGATGCTTCTTTGTCAAAAAGATGTTGACTGAGCTACTGGACACCAAAGAATACATAGAGGCCACTGCACTGGAGCACAAAAGTGGGAGGATCAGGCCCATTAAAAGGAAAAGTCCTAGAAAAAAATATGAAGTTATGAGAGTGTTCCCAATAACCTAGAAGCAGGGCCATATAATAAATATCAATATTTATCCATTGTTATGTTTATTTAATTATCAACAGCAGCTACTGAATAGCGCACAAACATTTTTAGCCAATTAAAGTAATGTGTTTACAGAAACTGAAGAGAAGAACAAGGAAATATTTAAGGTTATATTTAAATAAAGAAAAAGACAATGGACACAACTGAAATAAAAAGGCCTTAGAAGGTTAACAACTAATCATTTTAAATATATGTTTTTTCTTGGCTCTATTGGCTTGATCCAAAGTCCATTAAAATCAGTGGAAAGACTCCTCTTGACTACAAAGAGCTTTGGATCAGGCTCTTTGAGCATCTAGCCTCCATCTTCAAAACCAAATTTCAATTCACCCAAAGAATTTGCAGAAGTTCCAATGTGACACAGATTCCCACACTTGTCTAAATATAGGACCACACGGCGAGATGGCAGGGTACACAGACGAATGTTTTCTATGCCTTGTGGCAAAGCAGAAGTTGCTACTGACCTGAAAAATTTGTTTCAGGCTGTGCTCCGAGGGTGTTGGAAGGCACAGCATGGCAAAGTGCCTTATAAAACGTGGAGTTACTGGATTGCGACCACCGCCTGGGGGTGCACAAGCTGAAGCAATCGTTACACCCTGCAGGGAGGGAAATTCGTGCACAATTTATGTCAAATAGAATACTCAGTACTTTGTTTAATCATGCAAACACTGGTACTTATACACTGAATACCCATATCTTTAGCAAGCTACTGGTAAAGCAAATGTAATTTTTCCCCCATCCTTTTTTTTTAACTGATATTCTAATTCATTGATGAAAGTCCTGCAAGCACAATAGCATGTCCCAGAATAGAGATTCTCTTTCCCGACTCTTCCCACTCCCCATAGTTTGTCTTACACAATCACGCATATGAATGAAATTAACAAAGCAGTGGAGTCCCCCATCCTACAGCGTTCTCACCATGGACTAAATTTTGATTGCCCCTGACTGACCACACAGATGCAGGGCAGGAGTAAATAAGAAACATCCCTTTCTCTATCATGGACCATGTGAGGAGAGCGCTGGCTTGCTACTGTGTGAATGACAACAAGAGCTTGCCCACTTTCAGAATCAACCAAACCTTATGCCGCTATTGTAGGAACACTGCATATGTTGGGTGATGGGACTCTCGCATCAGAGGGAATTCAAACAATCATCAAACTGTAAACTTGACTTCAGTCTATATACTGGTCAAAAGTGGCATAAAAGTCTTGCCTGATTTTTCTGAACGTTCCCCTCATTGCTCTGAAATGTTTGATAATCTGCATCAATATTGGGTTTCAAATGAGTTTTGGGTTTCAGAACTCTAGCAGTGAGTAGCTGCACAGGCAGAGATAAATTTGGGTATGTCTACACTTGCACCCTATTTCGAAATAGGGATGCAAATGAAGACATTCAAAATTGCAAAGGAAGCTGAGATTTAAATATCCCGTGCTTCATTTGCATATTCGTTTTATGGCACTATTTCAAAATAGCGCTATTTCGAAATAACAGGCGCTGTTAAGGCACAGTTATTTCAAGAGAAAGCCTCTCTCGAAATAACTGGTAAACCTCATTATATGAGGAATAAGGGTTATTTTGAGAGAAGAGTTTTCTCTCGAAATAACCGCATCTTAAAAGTGTCTTTTATTTCGAAATAGCACTATTTCGAAATAGCACCATAACGCAAATATGCAAATGAAGTGTGGATATTTAAATCCCGGCTTCATTTGCAATTTCGAATGTCTTCATTTGCATCCCTATTTCGAAATAGGGTGAAAGTGTAGACATACCCAAAGTGAACAGCATATTTTAGGAAAAACAAGAAATGGGGAGGGGAGAAGAATAGAGATGCCTGGATACCCACTTGAAGAATTATAAAGTTCTCCTCTAACTCAAAATCATGTCAAACTTCACTTCTTCATTAGTCATGGAGCATAATCTTGTGGTTAAGGAAGAAAGCTGGAAATCTTACCTTCTACATCCAGCCTTGCCCTTAACTCACTGGGGAGCTGGAGGGAAATCAAAGGAACCAAAACGATAATTGTTTTCCCTTATCTACAGTGGCAATAACACTGTTTATCAACCTCAAAGAGGTGCTGTGAGCTTAATCAGAGCTGGCTCTACCATGAGGCGAACTGAGGCAGCCGCCTCAGGTGCCAGACTGTGGGAGGGTGCCACTAGGACCCAGAGTGTAGAAAACTGTGTCTGCTGCTGGTGCAGATGTATCCTCTCTGCTCTAGATGCGCAGAGATGGAGGAGTGCGGTGCTGGGGGAAGGAGGGCACAAGAGATATAACAGGCAGGCAGGAGAAAAGGGGGCATAGGGGCATCATTTCAAGTCCTCGCCTCAGGTGCCAAAATGTTGTGGGCCGGCCCTGAGCTTAATTAATTCATTTCACTTGTAAAATGCAGAGATCTTTGAGTAAAACCCTCTCCAGTATGCTACATTCCAAAGAGAAAAATAAAACATCATTCAACGTGCAAAATGAAAGGCCCCAGAAGCCAGGAAAAACCATAGTTACGGTTGTCCATGCAACTGGAAGTCTGCTCCCTTAACACAGAAAGAGATACTACACTAGAAGAAAATCCTTGCAAACTAACTTTGCTGATACGATTTGCTAAACACTGGAAAATCAAAACTGTTAGGCTGTGTCTACACTGGCCACTTATTCCGGAAAATCAGCTGCTTTTCCGGAATAACTTGCCAGCTGTCTACACTGGCCCCTTGAATTTCCGGAAAAGCACTGATGATCTCATGTAAGATTGTCAATGCTTTTCCGGAAAAACTATGCTGCTCCCGTTCGGGCAAAAGTCCTTTTCCGGAAAACTGCTCCGGAAAAGGGCCAGTGTAGACAGCACAGTAGTATTTTCCGCAAAAAAGCCCCGATCGCGAAAATTATGATCGGGGCTTTTTTGCGGAAAAGCACGTCTAGATTGGCCACGGACGCTTTTCCGGAAAAAGTGCTTTTCCGGAAAAGCGTCCTGCCAATCTAGACATGCTTTTCCGGAAATACTTTTAACGGAAAACCTTTTCCATTAAAAGCATTTCCGGAAAATCATGCCAGTGTAGACGTAGCCTTACTCTTTGCACAGCTCTACTTATAACATCTTCCTATGGCCTATGAAGTGGATAGACCCTTTGAACTAGTGAAGGCTGCCCTGACAGCCGAGGGTCCTCCATGTCTTGGGTGCAGAGCCAGTCCAGACAGTTCTATGCTGCACACTATGTGAGGACATACCCAGTGAAAGCGGACAGTGAAAGCCAGAGCACAGCAGCCCTGAGATACTCCAGGCCCTACCAGAAATGGGCACGGTTCACCAGGCCCCAGAATCAGGAGGCAGCACACTCCTTTGCAGCTTCCCAGTTCAACAATGTGCCCCTTACCAGCTTGACACCAAAAGTAACAACTGGTTTAGCCCTTCTTTTTGGCAATCCCTTCTTCGGTCTATTTGGAATTCAGGTACATCAAAAAACTTAGCCCACTACTGCTGAATCACCCCAGACCCATCGCTGTCAACTTCTGGCAGCTGAGGAATGGAATTTTCTAGTATCCAATTCTTTCCTTGTCGCTGAAGGCAGAGGAATGTATACTGCATTGCAAGGAAGGAAAGAAGAAATACTTTTTGGCTAATATCGGCATCATTATTTGAGGAGATGGGAGAAATCCAGATGGAGACATCTATGCGTATCCCTGCCAGGATTGTTAGAAGAAAATCTCAGACCCTCATTCCCTGGAGTGATAGAAGCTTGAAAAGCTACAGGAGCAGCACGTACTTCACACTGTGCTCATGTTATTGCCTCAAAGAGTAGCGATAACCGGCTTCAGAGAGAAATGTGTCCTCCTTGGACAGACGTGGTGTCAATGCTAAATGGGCAAAAGAGTAGGCAGTGCAGAAGGATGAAAATTGAGGTGTTCTGGAGGATCACACATCTACACACACACACACACACACACAGAGCTCAACACTGTGGACTGTGAATACAAAGGTCCTTGGAAAAAATCCAAGTGACGTGTCGAAGCAATGCAGAGTGAGAGCATATTCACAGTACACAGAGAATACCATAAACGCTATCAAATTGCCCACACAGTGAGCTGATCTAAAAGCCGGGGTGACCTGTATTTCTTTCCAAAACAGTTTATCTCTGTCATAGAAGCCTCCAAAATCTTGGTACTGCCGAAGTAGCTCAATAGGGGGCTGAGAGCCGTAGCGATCCAATTTAGGCATGTTTAGATCATCCACAAAAATAACAACTCTTTTCTTTCCTGGTGCGCCTAAGAAATAAAAATGTAAAAAGGCAGACAAATCAGTGCTGGTAATTTCCACTCGTGAAATAAAAAGTACAGATACCAAAGTAAAGCCTTCGGCTCCTCACACTCAACTCTGGTCTACATTACAAAGTTATGTCCACATAACGACATTGTTCACATGCCTGACACAGTTATGCCATCTTAACCCCAGCAGTAGGTAGTGCTAGACCACTGGGAGAGTGTCTCCCGTTGTCACAGCTACTGCCTCAGAGGGAGGTGGAGAACCGACGCCAGCTACAGGGTTGCCAGGAGTCCAGTTTTTGACTGGAACATCCCGACCAAAAGGAAGCCTGATGGTTCCAGTCAGCACCACTGACTGGGCTGTTAAGAGTCTGGTTGACAGCACAGAGGGGCGCAGGCATGCTCCCTGCCTGCCTTGACTCCATGCAGCTGCCAGAAGCAGTAACATGTTCCCCCTAAGGCTCCTATATGTAGGGACATCCAGGGGGCTCGGCCCATTACCCCGGTGCTAAGTGCCAGCTCTACAGCTCCCACTGGCCAGAAAAGCTATGGGGACGGCACCTGCAGATGGGGCAATGCACAGAGCTGTGTGGCCACATCTCCACATAGGAGGAGCCAGGGGTATTATGCTGCTTCAGGAAGCTGCTTGAGGTAAGTGCCACCCAGCCAGGGGGGTTATGCTGCTTCAGGAAGCTGCTTGAGGTAAGTGCCACCCAGAACATGCTCCCCTCAGCCCCCATCAGGGCACAATCCCCACACTCCAAACCCCTCAGCCCCAAGGTGGAGCACCCTCCTGCACCCCACACACCTCATTCCCAGCCCCACCCTAGAGTCCACACCTCCGGCCAGATCCCTCATCTGCCCCGTTTGTCAAGTCCCTGACCCCAGCCCTGATTCTCCTCCTGCCCTCCAAACCCCTCATCCTCAGCCCCACCCCATTGTCTGCACCCCCAGCCGGAGCTGAGGTGGTGCATTTCAGTATAATTACAAGGAACGGGGTGTTTGCACTAAAAGGAAATTTGCTTTGGAGGGGACGAGTCTAGAAAGGTGTTTTGTTATTGTGAGGGGAGGGGGTGAAAAGCATGAACTGAGAGCTGGTGTGGCTGTTGTTGATTTATCTCACTGTTAGCAACTGTGTTCTAGGAAATATTCCTGAGCAAACAGATAAGGTTGTGTTCACTGTGGAAAATGCATTCAAGAGCCCCCTTGTAAATCTTGATAGGTGACAACTTTTCACAATACTCAGTATTATTATATGTGAACACAGGTTTTAGAACTTTTGTGCTTCAATGCTGCCCCCGCGTGTATAACTGCAAGAACTACATAGTTTAATAGAATTGAAGCTTCAGTTGTATTCCAATAGTTAAATTCCAATTTATAGTATACATTTATAGTTAAATTCCAATTTAACAGTAAGGTTTCCTTGAAGTTAGCTCTCATCATACTTGGAACTAAAATACCATACAAAAAGTCTTGCCTGACTGCAGTTCAGATAAGCAAATCGATCATTAAAATCATTACCTAAAATATTTTTTCTTTTCTTTTCTAATTTGGACTCAATAATCTCTTGTGTTCTCATAGAGGACGTCTGAGCAGAGAAGTTTAGGTAAACAGGAACGTAACCAGCTTCTTCTTGTATTCGGTTTAGCAATCCCCTTGCAACTACAGACTTTAATTGCAAAAAGAGAGTAATAATAATGGCAATATACATAAAGTTACACACACATACACGCTTCATGGCTCTAGTATGCATCACTTCGGTAAATTGCACTGTCCAACAGCAAATAATGAAATTAATCAAACGAGTAGAACAGTAGGCCAGAGTCTACCACTGTTCTCAGCCTCTCCCCACTCATCTTCTCCAGCGTTATAGGAACAGAGTGACCACTCCTGAAATCTGTTCTTGACATATCAGAATACAGGAGTCACTGCTGTTTCATGCCTGGCTGTTGCTTAGGAACAAAGGAATCACCAAACTAGATCAGACCAGGCTCCAACATCCATTTAGTTTACTATCCCAACTCTGATAGTGACCGGTATTAGCTGCTTCAGAGAAAGGATGTGCTGCAGTCTGCAGTTAGAAGGTAACTTGCTTGCAGGTGAAGTTTCCTCTTAGTTCGCCATGACTAGAGTTCAGCTTTTATTTATATTAGTTTCCATTTTCCCTTCTGGTGGCTCCCAACATTGTGTTTGCTTTTCTGACTGCTACTGCACGCTGAACAGAGCTCTTCATTGAATTTCATCTGCTATCATGTCACCCATTCACTGAGCTGGACAAGGCCCCATGAAGTTCCTTAATCTTCTCTAGTTCTGACTAACCTAAAACATTCTGCATCATCTGCAAAACTGGACACCTAGCTTTTCACCCGGTATTAAACAACACTAATTCTAACATGGCATCTTGAAGCACCTGGATGTTAACTCTGTCATGACAAAAACTGCCAATTGATTTCCAAACTGGTTTCCGTCTCTTAGCAAGTTTCTCATCCACAACTAGACTGAAACCTAGACTGCTTTATTTTCTTTCACAACTTTGTCAAAGACCAAATTAATTATGTCAACTAGTTCCCCTTTAGCCACAGTTTGTTGATTGGTTGATTGATTTCTGGCACATTCAGAGAATTCTTTGAGATCAGTGAGGCTCAGTTCTCCTTTGCCAAAGCTTTACTGATTAGACATTCTCACATTAGGATTTTCTTAGTATGGTATAATTCTGTTTTTAATTACTGGTTTTAAACAATGTAGCCAATATAAAAATAAGGGTTGCTAGTCTGTAGTTTCCTGCAACATCCCGAGCACCTTTTAAAAATATAGATACATTTGCTGCCCTCTAACTATCAAGCACAGTAGAAGATTTTAATGGGACGGTTCATATTTTAGCTAGTTCCTCGGCCAGTTTTTTTTATTAAATTCCTTGGGTTAAAATCATGTGGACCAGGTGACTTTTTGCTTTTTAATTTATCTGTTTGTTCCAGCCCCTTTTCTTTAGGTGTCTGCGTCTTTAATCCAGCATTATCACTGGAACCTGAAAAGAGTAGTTCTGGGATAGGTATATCTCCCCAATGTGGTGAAGATTGATAATAAAGCAATCATTTGTGAAGGCTAGGACACTATAACAGAGTTTAAAGAGAAGCTAGATAATTTCATGGAGGTTAGGTCCATAAAAGGCTATTAGCCAGGGGATAAAATGGTGTCCTTGGCCTCTGTTTGTCAGAGGCTGGAGAGAGATGACAGGAGACAAATCGCTTGATCATTGTCTTCGGTCCATCCTCTCTGGGGCACCTGGCACTGGCCACTGTGGGCAGACAGGATACTGGGCTAGAAGGACCTTTGGTCTGACCCAGTATGGCCGTTCTTATGTTCTTATGTTCATTTAGCTACTGCATCCTAGGGTTCCACCCACCAACCAGCTGTCCAACCCCCCTCTACTTCTCACCCCACCTCAGGAATCCTCAAACGTGAATCCCAGTTGCCCTTTTCCCTCACAAGTGCCCCTGCCCACAACCTGCATGCACTCCCCTTGCTTAATGAATAGCAAACGTAGTTCCTTTGATTGGATGAGTGAAGGTAGAGCCTTCACTCAACTTGGTGCCCTCTCCCAGTCTGTCTGTAATGCCACAATTTTTGAAAACCACATCAGACCAATTCCAAAACTTTGGGGAATATTCTAGGCACCGCCAGCCAGGACCTTACTGATTTGGGTGAAAAGCCTGATTTGCACTAAAGTCGCCATTTGGCCCATCAGGATACAGAACTCAGGCAGAGACCTCACAGAGGCCTGTGAGAAGGGGGAAGTGTCTGCTTGGATACAGAGATGAGACAGAAACTTCACGATTAGGGTGAGAATGTGGGCAGATTCCTCTCCCCAAACTGGTCACCCCACCCTCATCACCCAAGCAGACCTCTAGCTCCTGCTCTGGTCAGACTCTTTCCAGCAAGACCTCTTGCACTCCACCACCACTCTGGTCAGAACCCTATTGATTTGAGGGATAATCTGACAGACTAGAAAAGTTTGATTGTAGTGGACATCAGAATTTTCCCCTAAACCAGTGGAGTCTGATCAGAACTGGAAGTGGAGAAAGGGAGAGGGAGTTGAAGGAGCCAGCAATAGTGGGGGTGAGGGTCTTGTAGGGTGTGCAACTCAGCCTACATAAGCCATAATGGGTGCAATTCTCCAGTGTTAATCAAGTGACCCTACTGCTATCCAAAGGATTCTCACCTTGCCGACACCAGTAATTCCTGTGAGCAATACCGAGTGTTTAACAGCTAACAACTTTTCCATCAGGTAGCCATAACGCACAGTGTCTGTGGTTGGAACAAGCATCTCAAAAAATGGCACTTCTCTGCTGTACTTGAAAGTAGGTATAACCCTCTCCCAGGATTCCAGTCGCCGGATATCAAAATCCATGTAAACGTTCCACAGGTCTCCAGAGGTCGGAAGCTAGAAGGACAAAATAACCCTAAACTGTACTGAAAAATAATAATAATATTAACATGAGATCTTAAAATGCAGGTGCCTTTACATCTCTGTGTTCTCCAAGGACATGTACTAAAGCGGTCACTGAATTTCCATCTTTTCCATGCAGCTCTGTATTCGGATATTGACCAAACCAAATGCAGAATCTTACATTTAAATATGTTTGTGGTTCTTTATAATGACTAGCATGCAGGCACCGGGCCCTCACACAAATGCCATCAAATGGAAGAGTATGTGATTGACCAAATGGCTCTGTGTGGTAAAGGTCAGCTCGCTTGCTGGGTCGCTGGCATTGAGGACTGCCCCACCTTTGTGAAGGTAGCTGTGGAGGCGTGTCAGCCAATGGGGGAGGTGGAAAAAAGCTAACAATTCCCCCATCCCCTGAACCCCTCCCTTCAGCAGAGCAACGGTCCATAAGCTGGCATTAGTCCAGCAGAGCTCCTCTCCTGGAGCTACTGAGAAGGTTTCCTTAAAGCCAAAGTGTCATCTGCTTGGCCTGCTTCCCCAGCGCCACCGTTTGGATGTAGCATTGAAAGACAGGCAAGGAGCCAGTCCAATGGGCCCATTGTTGGAAAAAATCCTGTGTTTTGTTTTCCAATCTCCTTCGGTGACAGAATGAGAAGGGAGCTGCTCAGCAATGACCCCAAACTGGCTTCAAAGACATTTGGGAAAGAGATTGCTTGGGCATGTCATCATAGGAACAGACAGAGCAAATCAACCAAGCTACCAAGTCAATGCATATAAGTTAAAGCACTTGAAACCGCCCCCCTCCCTGCCACGGTGGCTCTAATTCAGAAGCAAAATGGCCTTAGTTGTGAGAATTAAGTTAGAGTGACCTAAACCACGTTGCTCCTGAAGAGAGGCTCCAGAGGTAGTTAGTAGCACACTTTAATGTGTGCACATTCACTTCAGAACTTGAGCTGATTCGCCTTAACTTTCCTGAACATCCCCATGCAGACAAGCCCTAAATTGTTTCCTGTTTATCCTGGAGAAGAGGTACAATCCCAAATGTCTTGGACAAGGGGAGAGATTGGCATACAGAAAATACATTAGATTGCATGGATGTCACCACTTGTAGGGTTGACGATGGCAGCTGTCTAACAAAACATAAGCAAGAAAGATGAAGCTGCAGCAAGAATTTAGAAGGGGATGATTAGTGGGGTCTGATTCTCTACTGCCATGCACATTGGGCTCCATTTATAAAAGAACTTAGGCACCTAGCTACTACTTCAGGTGCCTAGATCCCAGAATCAGGCCTCTGTGGGCTTCAAAAAGCTCCTGCTCAGCTGCCCCTGAAACATCCAGAACCTAATTTTTTTGCAGTAAAAGTTCCCTATGCACCTATTGTTCTGTTTCTGTTCTTTATGTAGTCACTTCATCTTAAAACAAGATATATTAGAATTGGGAAAGGTTCAGAAAAGGCCAACAACAACAATTAGGGGTATGGAACAGCTTCCATATGAGGAGACATTAATAAGATTGAGATGTTTTAGACAGGATATAAGGATCCATAAAATCATGACTGGTGTGGAGAAGGTAGATAAGAAAATGTAATTTACTCTCTGCCTCATAACTTAACTAGGGCTCACCAAATGAAATTAAAAGGCAGCAGGTTTAAAACAAACAAAAGGAAGTATTTTTTCACACAATGCACAGTCAACCTGTGGAACTCCTTGCCAGATGATGATGTGAAGGGTTCAAAAAAGAGCTAGATAAATTCATGGAGGATAGGTCCTTCAATGGCTATTAGCCAGGATGGGTAGGAATGGTCTTCCTAGCATTGATTTCTCAGAAGCTGGGAATAGGCAATAGGAGATGAATCACTCGATACTTGTTCTGTTCAGTCTCTCTGGGGCACCTGGCATTGTCCACTGTTGAAAGAGAAGATACTAGGCTGGATGGACCTCTGATCTGACCATGCCTGGCTGTTCTTATGATCATACGTACAGGAGCTTCATGCCAAGCATCCAGACAACTAAGTCCCTAGAGCAAGATACAGGAGAAGAAAGGTGTTCCTCTGCCTAATTTGTCTGCATAGCCTAATCTAGTAAGTGTGCTCAAATCTCATTGATCAGATTGGGCCCCTCCAGGGAATCATACGCAAGGCTGGTGGGGTGGGAGTGGAGAGGACGACCACACACCTAATCTTTAGCCCAGTGGTTAGCAAACTCACCTGGGATGTTGAAACCTCCATTCTGCCTGAACGGAGAAAGGATTTGACCAGGCCTCAGACAGCTCTCAGATGAGTGCCATAGCCACTGATCTATGAGATATTCTGAGGTGGGGCTTCTTCAGTTGCTCTCACTGAAGTTGTTCCAAGGAGGAAGAACATGAAAGAATCCTCCCCATTTTTCTCTTCCCCACCTGCAGCTTCTTGCAAAAACCATGTGGGCCCCTAACACCAAGAGAGGGATTACAGCCGAGAATCCCCAGCCATGGGAGGCACCTCGTTGCAGGATGGACATAGGACACATTGACGAGAAAGTGCTGGTTCTTCACACACAGCTCTCTGCTTGGCCTCTCCCAGTGACTGGGTTGGACAAGGAGCTGCCTAGCTTGCAATCTGCCTAGGCGTCCAACTCAGGCTTTGTGAATCCCAGTCATTTTCTAGGCATCGAAAAAGTTAGGCATGGTGACCCCCAATGTCATCACACCTAGGTTTCTTTGTCAGTCTGACCCCTCACTGACCGGGGTAGGGCAGGTGCAAAGCAGGTGTGAAATGCTACCTGTCTAATTGGGTAGCACTTTGCCTTGTACTTTGAGTCATTCACACCTATATAAAGGGAGAACAATGAAGAATCAGACCTCTGGTCTTTTTTTTTAAAAAAAATTATCAACACATCTTTAATGACCAAAATGGTTGGGACTTAGGCTGTGGCTACACGGTGCAGCTTTTAGCAACGAAAGTCAGAAAGTACAAATGCTGTTTGTCAGAACTTCTGCCAACAAAATACCTCTATCCCCATGAATGGTGTTCATTTTGTCTGCAGGAGAGCACTTCTGCTGACAAAGCACCATTTACACCTGCACTTGTCACAGCAAAACTTGCATCTTTCAGGGGCAGAAGGGGTTAAACATAGCTTTAGGTTTAAAAAAGAAAGGAGACCTTTTCTGCTACCTCTGCTTGCCACCCTACGTATAGAAGCTACCGGAAGAACTGAGAGTCAACTTGCTTCTTTACCTTGGATTCAGGATTGTCCTCAAACTGTTGTCTCACAAACGTATCAAACATATCCCAATAGTTTTCAGTTAAATTTCCTCCCAGTGACCACAAATAGCAGAAAACAAAAGTCTGGCAGACAATGGTGTTTAACTTTGATTGGTCCTGTAAAAGAAAAAAAGATGATAGATAGATAGATAGATAGATAGATAGATAGATAGATAGATAGATAGATAGATAGATAGATAGATAGATAGATAGATTTCAGTTACATCAGCGAAAGCTGACTTAGTTTTCAATAATAACAATGCTCATGGAAAGTAAGCTATGCACATTCTCAGTCCAAAGGCCTATAGCGTTCAAAAATGACAAATGTTCACTGATGAGCCCACTTGGTCATTCTGAACAACACACTTCAGAAGCCTATACAGTTGGGAGGTGTGCTTACAGGTATACTTATCGGTTAACCGGCCCTTTCCAGTGAACTCTGGTGGCGGGCCCTAAAACTGGTTAAAACAATTAACCAGTTAAGCGCGATTGTTTAACTGGTTAACTGTTGTAACATCCCTAGTTCATCAGTGAAAAATGCATTAAAATATAAGAAATAGATTAAAGACAGTAATTCAACTGAGGTTGTCTATCTGCAATCAAAAGTGTGCCTTTACCCATGTGTGGGCATATCTGAGCTAGCATTGATCTAGCAAGCTTGAATACTACTAGGCCAGAAGCTGTGAGAACATGGCCTAGCAGCTCACATATGTGCCTAGGGTTCCAAGCAGGGTTGTACAGGCCACGCTAGTGTTGCTTGAGCAAATTAGATCAAAGCTAACTCAGGCGTGTCTATTGCAGTGCAGACACACCTTAAGAGGTTCTAATCATGTAATGTATCCTGATTTCTGATCAATAGTTTTCATTGTGCTCAAATACTAGCTTAAAAATGTCTAATTTTGTGTTCTATACTGCCTACATCACACTAACACTGTCATTTTTCACCTTTGTAATCACTACCACTGACAGGTATTTTATTTGAAATGCAAATTCCAATTCACACACATTAAAAATGCTTGTCTACATGGTCTAAAAGCTAAAATCCCATTGCACAGAAAGGTGTCGGTGCGCTTCTAAACAAACTAAAATTTCTGAATATCAGTCAGCTTAGATCATTAAATTTGAAATAATGAAATCTATTACATGACACATGCTATAAAAGTTATTTAACATAAAATGTGATTATTCCACATTTACATTTTATGTCAGAATGGTAAGTAATTCCTACATATCTTGAGCGTATTATGTAGCAGCAGGTTAAATACTTATACCATCTTAAGATCAGGGCCTCCTTTTCCAAGCAGCAAAGACTCCAGCAAACAGCAAAGTGTAGTAACTTTACTGATGTCCACTTGTGGAATAGCTTGTGAGCACTTTTTATTGACAAACTTTAGACCATCTTCAACATAACGACAAAACAGATCAAACAAATGTTGTTTTGTTTCCTCATTCATCTAAAATGGAAACAATATTTTTATGATAATATTTTTAAAACGATGTTCTAAACAAAGCAAACACAACAACAAGCCATATAGCATCCTGGACATCCAGGATGTGTTTATAAAGTATGTGCACATTCACACATGCAACATGTTTGTATATATTCTAGAAGATATGCAAACAAAGGTTTATTCTCACAGGCCTGTTCCTGAAACCCTGACAGATATGTGTAATTTTTACTCACGTGATCTAGTCCACTGAAGACAAATAATCGGGAATGTTTCATGAAGTGCAAAAAGCATGTAGATGCATGTTCTGCATATTTTCTATATTTCATATATTCAGATTCCTACTTTAACACAGTTAATTATAATTAATTATTAAATAGTTACTTTAATACTCATTTAAAAAAATTAAAACACATAAATAAAAATTAAAACCCTTCAACCTTTATTAAATTTCAAATATTTGTTCCTAGCCAGTTCTTTCATGGGGAGATTTAGAACTGTCATGCCAGGATGTAAAACTAACGTTTCTGACACCTACTTTATTTTCAAGACCGGCCATCCAAGTCTGTACATATGGGATCCACTTCAACTCGTCAGGGTCAATGTACACCATTCCACATCGGCTAACTGTTGCAGGTGAGGCAACTTTCAGATCTTGTACCTGAAGTGTATGGATATTGGATGCAGAATATCACACTGTCTCTTTCAAATGCACATAAACAGAGAGGATATATTTCTAATTCCCCTCACCCTAACTTAATTTGTGGGCAGGCATTCAAGTATGAACTATAATCTACCACCTTATTCTGTGGTCACTGTTATGCCCTATTAACTTTGTGATGTCCATCCTCCATCTGCAGTTTCCTCCTTCTCATCTGGAGACAAAAATGCATGGCTGGTAAAGGTGTTTCTCTCTTTTTTGGGGCATGTCGATTTGGTGCTATCCACCAGTGAGTAAATTATGGTCACAATCACACGGGGAATTATTATATCAAGAAACAGATTTGTCAAGCATCAGTAAAGCAGGCTGTTAGTGAGGTGGTTGGAGACCAAAGCGGTCCACAATTTTTGTATAGCAACTAAACCATGTTTTTCACATGGCCAATTACAACACTCATCATTGCATTTCAATGTATGCTTTACACAAGGGAGAGCTTTTCTAGCACTGTTAGAAATGTGAAACCCTCACAAATCCTTCACCGTAGCAGAGAAAAAGCGAATGCATATTTACAGGCCACTCTTGGCTTGGAGCAGTCAGAGTTTCCAGAGCCTCAGCTGATGTTAAATCTATGGACTCAGAGCTCTTTTGACCCTGACACTGGGTTCCCATGCAACCTTAATCCCAAACAACATGCAGCACTTCCCCAGTTACATTAGATCACCATGCATGCATTTTTGGCAGTGATGGGGTTTTGCCATCTTGGCTGACTTTGGTAGTCATTTTCAGGGCTATCTAAATGGCTGCAGCAGCTTAAGGATCACCCAGTCAAATACAGTACTGACTCCTGTGGATGTGCAGTAGGGATGAATCTGGCCTAAAATAGCTAGACTTGCTAAATGATACCAAAGTGGGATAAGATGAGAACTGGAGGGTTTAAACAGAGAGGGGAAAGAATTGTTTATTGTGGACCAATGAGGGTAATCAGGTAATGAGATGAATCCTGACAGGATAACAGAAAAAAATTCCCAGCCATGAAATCTGCTAGGAATCTTTCTAGCTCTCTTTTTATGATCTAAGAATGACATCATCATCTCAGAAAGGCAAATCAGTTTCTGGGTACAAAAAAGATTGTGTGAGCAGATGACCAAGAGAGATACAATGAGTAACTACGGAGGGCAAAGACTCTTTGGCTTTGACCCTGAATTGCAAAGGTGTGAAACGGAAGTCATTCTGCAGAAATCCCCATCCACAGAGAGAAAAACAGAGACTGTCCAAAGCAAAACTTACAAACAAACAGCTACGATAAATTCGGCTGCAGGTCATGTACCTGAGCAATATAACAATATAGTCCCTACATTGAGCCAAGCAAAGCAGGAAGAGCCCAATGCATATTCAAATCCAAGAATTTACAGTACCTCAAACATCATATGGATGGAGGGCGTGAGTTTGATTCTTTCACTGTTTGCCAAGCAAAGCATCTTGTTATCATCCAGCACTGTGTTCAAGTTTTCAATCCATAGGGCATCCACTGGCCCATCACAGATGATCCACTTATGATCTTCAGAGGTGTCATTTACAGCAGCTCGAACACTCAGACCCATCAAACCATCTTTCCACTCCAGAGTTAAAGTATTAACTTCGCCATACAATTCGCCCATTGTAATTGACTTGGGGTTCAGAATAAAGGTTTTGACAGGCTGGTAAAAAGGGTTTTCTTCACCAGCATCATGTAAATCTCCTAAAGTCTGGGCCAGAATTTCATAAACTGTTGTTTTTCCACCTCCCGTTGGCCCAACAAGCATAACACCATGCCTCACTAACATGGTTTCATAGAGCTGTATGACCTTATGAACCATGCATGCTTCCGTCTGCAATCCCTTTGAAAGCATAACATCTATAATTGTCGACTGTAGTATCCCATAGTCATGTTCTGGGATTACGACTCCCGGGAAAAGATCAGAAATAATCCCACTGTCAGACAAAAGGAGAAAAAAATGACTGCTTATTTTTGGTTAATTATATAAAAATAATTAAAAATTACATGGATTATATATTTAGAAACAACCATTTCCATATTGAAGTCTCCTTATCCATTCTCGTGTGTTGTTGTGTTCACTTGGATAGCATTTGTAGAAAGCTGTCATCTAATGCTAGAACGCCGGCTCCGGGGCCAAAACCAACATTGGCAAATGTGGGAGCTGACAGTTAAAGAACTTAACCCCATAGTTAGGAACCTGAACTAGGGACCTAATTTTCAGAGGTGCTGAGAACCTGCAGAGCCCAACAGTGTCAATGGAAGCAACATATGCTCAGCACTTGTAAACAAACCAACCAACCAGGCCTCTCTTCGGCAAAGCACTTAGGCACATGCTTCCTGAGGTGCCAATATATGGATTTAGGTGCCTAACTCTAGACACCCAGTGGAGGGGTACAAAAATGGGGCAGAACAGGATTGGGCCCAACATTTGTTCCTCCACCCCTGGTTGGAAGAGGCTCAGGGTGTGTGTAGACTACAGGGTTTTTTCAAAACAAAAGTGGCCTTTTTTAAAAAAAACTTCCCCTGCATCTAGACTGCTGCTGCGTTCTTTCAAAAGTAAATCGGAAGAACGCAGCAGTTTTTTCAACAGCGGAAAACCTCATTTTTTGAGGAATAACACCTTTTTCGAAAGTGCTCTTTTGAAAAAAGGCGCTATGTAATGCAAACTGTGCTTTTTCGAAAGAGAGCATCCAGACTGCCTGGGTGCTCTCTTTCAAAAAAGTGGCTTGCTTTTTCGAAAGTACTGGTTGTAGTCTAGACACTCTCTTTCGAAAGAGGCTTGCAGTCTAGACGTAGCCTCAAAGGCATCAGGAGGAGGCCAGAGTGATGAATGGCCTTGCGTCCCACAGGATCACGGATCCAGTGACCCTGGCTGAAGCAGGCTCCCTGACGGTAGGAGAGCAGTGGCAGGTGGGCATGGAGGTGAGGTAGGAGACCAACAATCACAGGGTAGGGAGTGCAGGGGTCCAGGGCCACAGGGAGGGAGGTGCAGCTGGTGCTTTGGAGACAGTTTCTATGTGGGAAACTGGTAGCTGGGGGCAGTCTGAGTAGGACTAGATACTGGGGTACAGTCCCTGGATGGGAGGGTGAGTGCTGGGGTGCAATTCTTGGGAGAGGGACTGGAAGCAATCCCTGGGTGGAGAGTTCTGTCCTGGATTGAGGCACCCTTTCTCTCCTGGGCAAGCACATGTGCCAGCCCAGTGTTGGGAGGATCTGGATGCTGAAGAGATAGTCCCAGGAGGGTTGGGTGATGAGGGAGCATTCCCTGTCTGGGGAAGCAATCCGGGGAGGGGCTGGAGTGCATGGGATCAGTTGATGGTTGGGGACTGGGTACATAGCAGGCAGTCCCCGGCTGGGAGGGGCACCCCCATACTGACCAGGGAGACCCATCTTTGCAGTCAGGATGTGCAGCTGCACTCTGGGTGTTCAGCCATGCTGCCAGCAGCATGGACATGAGGGCGGCAACATGACTCGCTGTGCCATCTTGGCAAGAAATTAATCCATTGCAACAGTGAATGGTTTGACTTGCTTTGCTCATTGCAAATACTCTTGGTTGGCATTTGCCAGTGTTGAAATGGAAGGTCCTGTACTGATTTGAACCATACTGAAGTCAAACAATCAACACTACGTCTTTTTATGGTAGCTGTCTGGGCAGTGTATGTGTTGAGAACCACTGGGTTAGACCAGTGTTCCTCACAGCGGGCCGTGGGCCTGCCTTGGGAAAGCTGCTAATGGGCACACGCTGCTTGGTTTACTAAAGGAGCTTTAGCCACAGAGCCTTGCATGGCCCAGGCTGCCACTCTGCACATCTCCCTGTGGCTGGAAATGGTGAACTGCAGCCAATGGGAGCGGTGAGGCTCTGTGGCTGCAGACCCGTTAGGTGAACAATGCAGCATGGGCCCGCAAGCTCAGTTTGAGAAATGCAGTGTTAGATATTAAGTGCAACATAAATGTGATACATCAACAAGAAGAAAACAAACTAACATTATAGAAAACTACCTGAAAAGAAGAGCATCATCTGCAAGAAATTTTGGTAGATTAGAATCTCGTAAAGCCCTTATTAGCACCACATCCTCATTCAGATCCGGGTTCTCTCTTTTTAGTGACCTGAATTTTAATTTAAAAAAAATAAGATGTCTCAGTTTTACTCAATCTATGTTTATATCGACTATTATGTATGAGTACTGTAGGTGAACTTATGTAAATAACTCATCAAAAAATTGAGAATTCTAGTACATTGACCTTACACTGTCCAGATATAATTTTGTGCTAACTCAAACAATCCATTTATTACATATGAACTCCAACTTTTGACTACTCACTACTCACCCTAGAGTCTGGAAACACTGTTAGCCAATCACAACACATCAATAAATATATGTATCCAGAAAAAGTGTAGCGAGTTCCATAAAAGCTAGCTAATTATCTCAGGAGGCAATTAATGAGGTTTGGTTTTGGGATGAGAGTGCGGGGGTTGGAACTGTAAGTGTGTCTTCTGTTTAGGATATAGAAAAAAGTGCAACACTTTTGAAATTCATAGGTTTAATAAGACATTTTCAGATATTTCTGATTAGGACAGCTTCTTTAACCTGGTAATTTCTCTATTTTCATATGTTACACTATTGTATAAAACTGTTAATATTTCTAATGACATTCATTACAATGATATATCTTATACAGTATGAGGAGTCTTACCCAGCCATGACTAATACAGATTTGACTGCTCTCATTCCAAAGTCATAATGATCTTGTTGAGAAAGCTGCTCACTACAAAGTTTGTACATTTGAGTCATCTTCCTTGCAAGAATTTTACTAGATTCAAAACCTTCAGAATACAGAATCACCTAAAGCAAATAAGATATGACTACATTTTTCATTAAATACTCAGAGGGTTTTTTATAGTGGAAGCAGGAACTGGCACTGAATATTAATATGTGTTTTAGTGATAATATAATTATACATTATAGTATTTTAACTATAATTTTGTGCAAACAGTCTTAAGTATGCAATCTTCTTTATTCTACAGGAAATAAAGCATTAAATCAATTTATTCTGGGAAAATATTACAGGCTAGATCTGCAAGCCTTCCCTTGATGAGATTTTACAAATTGGTCCAGTTACTTGAGTGTGAATACTTGTGTTGCCCTAAAGAAGCAAAAGAATCAAGCATAAGACTAATTAATAAAATGTAACAAATGTTTTAAATTATGGACTTGAATTTCTAAGTGATCTTAGACATGGTATATTTTGTGTCTGAAAAAAAGAATTCTATGTGGAATTCAACTAAGTGGATTTCTGAAGAAAACTCCAACTTTCAAGGAAATAGTTTACAAACAGATCTATGCATAGGCATGACTTCATTAATGGCATATTTGAGAAGACTCCAAGGACGTAGAGAATAGACACTCATAATAATATTGTGGTTTCAAGTATCTAAAAGGGTGTTACAAGGAGGAGAGAAGAAAATTGTTCTCTTTGGTCTCTGAGGATAGAACAAGCAGCAATGGGCTTAAACTGCAGCAAGGGAGGTTTAGGTTGGCCATTAGGAAAAACTTCCTAACTGTCAGGGTGGTGAAACACTGGAACAAATTGCCCAGGGAGGCTGTGGAATCCCCATCTCTGGAGATATTGAAGAGCAGGTTGGATAGACATCTGTCAGGGATGATTTAGATCAGGGGTGGGCAAAAGGGCCTCAGTGGGCCGGATGCGGCTTACCAAGCAGGTTGATCTGGCCCATGGAGGCCCTGCCGCTCCCCTGCCCCCCAGTCCAATTAGGGTCTGGGGGCCGGGAAAGTGCACAAAGTTTCCTCTGCCCTGCCAGGAGCATGTGGCGCTTCAAATCGCTGCATGCTTCTGGCAGGGCGGGGGGGGGAACTGGGCGCTCCCTTGCCCCCAAGCCTTGATTGGCCTGGAGCGGGTGCCAGTAGTGTGTGGCTTGCCACGGGCTCCTGGCAGGGCAGGAGGAGAGTTTGTGCGCTCCCCCGCCCCCAAGCCCTGATTGGCCTGGGGGGAGTTTGCGAAGTCTCCTCCACCCTGCTCCCATCCTGCAAGAAGCGCACGGTATTTAGAAGTGCCACGCACTCCTGGCAGGGTGGGAGGAGACTTCGTCACCAAGCCCTGATTGGCCTGGGAGCAGAAGGAGGAGAGCGCAAAGTCTCCTCCCACTGCCAGGGGCATGGGTGCCTAGGGGGAACTTCGGGGGGGGGGAAGACTTCACTCACTCCTCCACCACCAGACCATTCATGGTCTGTGGATGGGTAAGCAGGGATGTATCCTGCCCCACCCCTTCCATTTGAGGCCCTGCCCCTTCTGGTGCAGTCAGGGGCCACTTCAAAAATTTCTGAAGTGGCCCCTGGCAAAAAATTATTGCCCACCCCAATCTAGATGCTGCTTGGTCCTGCCATGAGGGGAGGGGACTGGACATGATGACCTCTCAAGGTCCCTTCCAGTTCTATGATTCATTACTATTAAACAATAACATTGGCCTCAAATAAACATTTTCTACATGTTTATCGTACATATTATAGAGTCATAAATTGTAAGTCCCAAAGGGACCATTGTGATAACCCAGTCTGACATCCTGCATACTGTGAGCCATGTATTTACGCGTACCTCAGCAATCAAGGCATAATTTGGAACCATCATTGCAAAGGGTCGGAAGAGAGCTTTTAGATTGTCGGGCAGCTCTGTTCGTCCAGCATATCCAGGATTCATTGTGATGAACGCCGCACAGGTCATAACCAGCTTTATTTCACGTCCCTCAAACATAAATCGAAAGAGCTGTTTAAAAGAAAGTGAAATGTCAACATAGTGTATACTACATTCCTACAAAAATAAAAATCACACATTAATTTAAAAATCAGACTTGTTTTTAAAGAACGGATTACAGGTTGCGGTTTGTATTTTTATCTGAGGATGAACACACTTGCATAATGCATTTTTCTTTCTAAGCTTTTGAAAAAACAAATGGAACCTACTGGTACCACACATACTTTTAAATGTGAAACCAAAAGAAATAAATATGAAAACAAATTCTCATGATCACAGCAGACAGCTTTGCGGCAGTTTGGATGAGGAGATGGGACTGTTCCACAACAGCTGGCTCTTGATAACAGAGGCAGACACCTCCGAGGTTCCATCATGTCTAGAATAGGGTTTGCTTGTTTAGGATTTCATTGTAAGTTTTGTTTTCAGTTCAGAATCACAGGAGAATATGGGCAATGGAATCTCATGCTGCTCTTTATTTACTGAGGGCCTAAGGGCTTCCCAGTTTTCACAGACCCAGCATTGTGGAGCCAGAATGTTTGGCTCCAGAAAATCCTGAACTGGAAAGGCCTGAAGCTGGCTCTGATGCTCCTGAGGAGCTCTTGGGTGATATTGCTGTTGATCATGCACAGTGAAGGAGAGTCCATCCACCAGCTAAGCCAGACACCCCCTGTGAGCCTCTGACATGACTCATTCAGCAGAGCAAGAGGCACACTTCTTAAATCCAAGGCTCTTCTCCTTCGGTTCCACTGTAGGATCCATGAGCCAACACTGAGGCATTAGAACCAGTAAAAATGAAGACAAAACACAACTTTCATACAATCAGCAAAGCTAAAATGTCCTACATGGATCCTAACCAGCTGAAAATGCTAAGAGAGGCACTGAGTTTTTTTAAGAGGTTGGATCAGTCTGGTGTGGTTCCTCATCCTCTGCTGTAAGGTCTAGGAGACCAGGAACATTTTGTGACATGGTTCCCCTTCTTCCCCACTGGGAATTCCCAGATTCAGAGGGCACGATGCCTCTCTGCTTGTTGCTTTAGAAAATTGTTCGTCTGAATCAGGACCATCTACTGCTAAACTGGGCTTCTGAAAGTCTTCAGTGCATCGTGAATCTGGCCCTAGGAATTGATGATCTGCACTGTGTGGAGGAAGGCTACATGGGAATGGTGGGGGGGGAGGGGAAGCCCACTAAAACGAGATCTGAGATGAAACAGAGCTGGATCTTTTTTAAATCTTCCTGGAAAATGAAATGCTAAACCCATGGGCTGTTTTCTGTGTAGGACAAGATTTATGGAGATGCACAACACAGTGCTTTGTGATCTTTCTAGATGAAAAGGCCAATAGGCTAGCCCATTTACCTAGCCTTTGCCTTAGCTCTGGGTAGGAAAGTGAAATGGTGAGGGATTTGGAGGCCTTTCTAATCTGGGGATGAGATATGAGGGCAGCCACAATGACCCTTCACCTCCATAACAAAATCCTTCATTCGGTATGACGACACACAGGAAGACCCTCAGATCAGAATGTTGAAGAATGGAATTAAAATTAAGTAACAGTTTTTCAGACTCTTTAGAGAGGAACTTAAGTGGCAGAAGGCAAGAATAGTTAATATACTGTGAATAAGAAAGTGTGCCTAGAGAGGAACTTAAGTGGTTAATATACTGTGAATAAGAAAGTGTGCATGAAAGAAAAGTACTTATTAACTCGAAATTTGGGACGTTACATTAATTTGTTTTAAAACAACTGAATTTAATTTGGTAGTCTCTAATGTCCACTGGCATTAAGTGAATATAGTATAAATGTTACAGATCAGAATTAACATCCATAGAGTTATACCAGGAAGAGCTTTTGAACAATAATAAACACTAAAAAATAACAAATATTTAACCAATTTTACTGAAAAATAATAATTGGAAGAATCTAAAAAGTTTAATATCCCAGCATTACATAAAATTGATAATGGAGGACCACTTCTCTTGCCATTTGAGCATGTGATTTTAATTCAGCATAATAAAATGTGCTATCACAGACCCAATTCTGCAAACAGTGTGTCTTTTGTGGCAGGGTAACCCCACTTCTTGGTCCCAGTACCCTGCTCAGTCCTTAATCTTGCTGTCTCAGTACTGCGCTATTAGCCCGTGGCAGGGTTTGAACTCTGGTCCCTTAGCTACAAAGGGCATTGGGGCCAGTGGGCCTTGGCTGTGAAAAGTCCTCTGCAGCTCTTAGCTGGGTTCTCAGGCTGCCAGGAAAAAGGGAACTGAAAGCCCTGTTTGGAGCTCCTCACCCCCCTTTGCTGTCTCTGGCAATGCCATTACCTTTCTTAGTCTGTCTGGTTCTTTCCTATCTGCTCCGGTCTCCTCTCACTCCACTTCCTCGCTCACTCTAGGGCTTCCTTTAAAAGGCTCCATGGCAGCTCAGGTGAGCTCAGCTGGCTCTGCTTGATTTACAGCAGCCCTAACTCCTCTGCTCCTGATTAACCAGGGCTGTTGCTGCCTTTTAGAGCTGCCTTTCTCTCTATCTACTGTAGTCCTCCAGCCTGACCCTTTCCCACTTTGTGTATCTTTTCTCCAGTGTGTAATCCCACTGACTTTATTGGGACTACATGCAAGAGTATAGGCGTGCACAATAGCAAGGCTTTGCTGGATCAAGTCCATACTTGTCACAGTTTAGTACCCTGCTTGGAAATTTCACAATGAAGGATCAGGACTGAGTGAGTGTGTAGAATGGAGACTCAACTACCCTGGGACCTTTACAAGTAAATTCGCGAGAGGAGGTCATGGCATGTCTGTGGAGAAGCTTGCATTGCTGCTGTCCGTGCTCTACCTGTACTCTAGTTAAGTCAAGGGTTCATGTTCTGGAACTCTTCACAAGCATGACATGCTGCTAAAACACTATCTGCTTTAATAGCGAACACAAGCAGCTATTACCTTGGCAGCTTTCGCATTCCTAATAGTGATCAACTGCTGAGCAATCACAGACAGAACTTCAATATCAATTCGGTTAAATTCATCAAAACAGCACCATGCTCCCGACTGGGCCAAACCGCTGAAGAACCGTCCCATCATCTGAAACCAGAGCACCGTCATGGCTTAACGTGGGCATGTCTCAAGTTCTTCAAAAGCTACAAAGCGAGTTAGTCCCGTTTGAGAGACATGGAGATGGAAGAAGACATGTCGCTTCATTGAAGAAAGAAAAAACTGGGTTATTTGTTCACCATACAGCACTGCAGTCTCCCTCATTCTGATTGGATCCAGAGCACTGAATGAGGCAGGGGGCCTAGGAAAAACCCAGCATGTTACCGTGTGATAAAGATGAACATGCACAAAGGGTACAATAGAACATTTATAGTAAAAGCCCCAGAATGATTCCAGTCAACTTGAAAGCCATATCTTATGCATACTTGCTTCTGATCAGCTTTATGCTGTAAAGCATTTCAAGAGAGGTTCATCTTGTGGACCAATTTTGAACTAAAAAAATATAAAGACGGATTAAGGAGCAAAGAGAGAGAGAGAGAGTGAATGAAACGGGGCCCTGAAACAGAGATGCTCAATCCTGAAAGTAGGAGAGAAAATAGGAGAGAAAAAACGGCCTTCACAGTAGAAAGAAAAGTAGAGAGAAAGCTGACAGGGAAGTTAAGGCTATGTCTACACTACGGGGTTTTTCCGGGATACCTCTGGTATCCCGGAAAAACTGCCATGTCCAGGGAACGCATCTGCTCTTCCACTTATTTTTGTGGAAGAGCAGGTATGCTCTTTCAGAAGCCCTGTTTTCCTCATTCCATGAGGAAGAAGGGCTCTTCTGAAAGAGGAGGATTTTTTGAAATTTGACCCAGTATAGATGGGCCAAATTTTGGTAAAGCCTCTTCCGAAAAAACTACCGGAAAAAGGTACGCAAATTGTGGAGCGCAATTTGCATACCCTTTTCCAATAAATCACTGTAGTCTAGACATAGCCTGAGAAAGAATATACATTGCAATGTTAAGCCAACCAAGGGTCTCTTAAGTGAATTGCCCCAAGATGTCAGAACTGGTTAGTATGATAGCTGCAAGAGTTTAATATTTATTTAAACTTCTAACTTGATATAGGAATGTGATACAGTGCTGATGGCGGATAATTTTGAAGTTATTATCTCCATAAGAAATTAACCTGGAATCACAGTTAAAGTTGCCTTTGCCTCCTGAAAAAATCTGAAATGGTGTTCACAGAATTTGTCCTGCCCCATTGGCTTGAATGGTGCTGCGCCCTGCTCCAAATGCACCTATAAAGAGCTGTACACACCCAGGCAATGCATGCCCAAATTATACTGCTATTTTGAGCAGTGTAATGTCCCACTGCCTTCCTGCTGGAACCCACCACAGTGACATACTCTGGCAACAGCAACGTAGCTTTTATGCCATGTTGATCACTTTGATACATGAGCATCTGAACCACTGGACACGTGCTAATGCATATGACACCCATGTATCAATATATGGTTTTTATTGGGTGCCAGTTCTATTGTCTGTTGTTTCAACATTTTCCCACAGTTCACACAACTTGATTCTTTTGGATGTTTCTGGTTCTACAATAAAACAGGTGTGCTTTTGTTTCATTCTTTTTAAATGCTCACAGATTGTTCAAAATAACAGCTTGGCTTGTTTGACTGAAGGTAGCAAAGAGGAATACATCAGCGATACAGAATAAGATTTTTCTTGCTATGCCCGTGGTGGCAGGGTAACCCCACTTCTTGGTCCCAGTACCCTGCTCAGTCCTTAATCTTGCTGTCTCAGTACTGTGCTATTAGCATGTTGCAGGGTTTGAACTCTGGTCCCTTAGCTACAAAGGGCATTGGGGCCAGTGGGCCTGGGCTGCGAAAACAGTCCTCTGCAGCTCTTAGCTGGGTTCTCAGGCTGCCAGGAAAAAGGGAACTGAAAGCCCTGTTTGGAGCTCCTCACCCCCCTTTGCTGTCTCTGGCAATGCCATTACCTTTCTTAGTCTGTCTGGTTCTTTCCTATCTGCTCCGGTCTCCTCTCACTCCACTTCCTCGCTCACTCTAGGGCTTCCTTTAAAAGGCTCCAGGGCTGCGAAAACAGTCCTCTGCAGCTCTTAGCTGGGTTCTCAGGCTGCCAGGAAAAAGGGAACTGAAAGCCCTGTTTGGAGCTCCTCACCCCCCTTTGCTGTCTCTGGCAATGCCATTACCTTTCTTAGTCTGTCTGGTTCTTTCCTATCTGCTCCGGTCTCCTCTCACTCCACTTCCTCGCTCACTCTAGGGCTTCCTTTAAAAGGCTCCCTGGCAGCTCAGGTGAGCTCAGCTGGCTCTGCTTGATTTACAGCAGCCCTAACTCCTCTGCTCCTGATTAACCAGGGCTGTTGCTGCCTTTTAGAGCTGCCTTTCTCTCTATCTACTGTAGTCCTCCAGCCTGACCCTTTCCCACTTTGTGTATCTTTTCTCCAGTGTGTAATCCCACTGACTTTATTGGGACTACATGCAAGAGTATAGGCGTGCACAATAGCAAGGCTTTGCTGGATCAAGTCCATACTTGTCACAGTTTAGTACCCTGCTTGGAAATTTCACAATGAAGGATCAGGACTGAGTGAGTGTGTAGAATGGAGACTCAACTCCCCTGGGACCTTTACAAGTAAATTCGCGAGAGGAGGTCATGGCATGTCTGTGGAGAAGCTTGCATTGCTGCTGTCCGTGCTCTACCTGTACTCTAGTTAAGTCAAGGGTTCATGTTCTGGAACTCTTCACAAGCATGACATGCTGCTAAAACACTATCTGCTTTAATAGCGAACACAAGCAGCTATTACCTTGGCAGCTTTCGCATTCCTAATAGTGATCAACTGCTGAGCAATCACAGACAGAACTTCAATATCAATTCGGTTAAATTCATCAAAACAGCACCATGCTCCCGACTGGGCCAAACCGCTGAAGAACCGTCCCATCATCTGAAACCAGAGCACCGTCATGGCTTAACGTGGGCATGTCTCAAGTTCTTCAAAAGCTACAAAGCGAGTTAGTCCCGTTTGAGAGACATGGAGATGGAAGAAGACATGTCGCTTCATTGAAGAAAGAAAAAACTGGGTTATTTGTTCACCATACAGCACTGCAGTCTCCCTCATTCTGATTGGATCCAGAGCACTGAATGAGGCAGGGGGCCTAGGAAAAACCCAGCATGTTACCGTGTGATAAAGATGAACATGCACAAAGGGTACAATAGAACATTTATAGTAAAAGCCCCAGAATGATTCCAGTCAACTTGAAAGCCATATCTTATGCATACTTGCTTCTGATCAGCTTTATGCTGTAAAGCATTTCAAGAGAGGTTCATCTTGTGGACCAATTTTGAACTAAAAAAATATAAAGACGGATTAAGGAGCAAAGAGAGAGAGAGAGAGTGAATGAAACGGGGCCCTGAAACAGAGATGCTCAATCCTGAAAGTAGGAGAGAAAATAGGAGAGAAAAAACGGCCTTCACAGTAGAAAGAAAAGTAGAGAGAAAGCTGACAGGGAAGTTAAGGCTATGTCTACACTACGGGGTTTTTCCGGGATACCTCTGGTATCCCGGAAAAACTGCCATGTCCAGGGAACGCATCTGCTCTTCCACTTATTTTTGTGGAAGAGCAGGTATGCTCTTTCGGGCTCTTCTGAAAGAGGAGGATTTTCCGAAATTTGGTCTAGTGTAGATGGGTCAAATTTCGGAAAAACCTCTTCCGAAAAAACTATTGGAAAAAGGTACGCAAATTGTGAAGCAATTCCGATAAATCACTGTAGTCTAGACATAGCCTCAGTTACCCAAAGGAAAAGAAAACAGAAACTCTTTAAAATATATTCTATTGCCACGTTATGTATTAAAAAGCTTTCTTAGAAAAATACCCTTAATACAATTAATAGTATGAAAAAGTCCACGATCTCAATAAAGATGTCCCCAATTTGCGAAATCCAAAACCTTCCCTGGACTCTGTTCTACACCGTTTTCTTATCAAATTAGTGCAATCAAATCCAATCATAATTTACAAGTTAAATGCTGACCTACAAAATGCTCAGGAAAAAGTGCCCAGATTTGCAGTCCCATTTCCATCCCTTTACGCTGCTCAGTGGGCACAAGGGGACGTGAGCTGGCCACTGCCGAATGTTTCCCCAGCACAAAGGAATTCCAAAGGGAGGTAATGTTAGTTAACCCAGCCCAGCACAGGAGCCAGGTGAAGGGAGATAGTGGGTGTGAGATAAGGCAAATGGGCAGGGAAGGGATGCAACCGAGACCATTCCTCTATGGCAAGCACCAGCTAGTGAGAGAGACCTTGGAGAACCATTCACAGTGGCCATGTTAGAACAGGATTTTGTCAGGACCAGGGTGGGGGCCGTTTGATACCACCAGCTCTAACAAACGGAGTGCAGTGAAGCAACAGAGAGAAATTAGCTCGAGATAAGGGTTGGAAATACATTTCAAAAGAGAAAGGAAACTTGTTATTATGGACACATCTTTCAATAACCTGCCTTTTTAAACATCCAAAAAACTTGCCAATGATGTCTTTCTTCCTGTCAGAGAAGGGGAATCTACCTATCTATATAGCGCAGCGTCTTAAAAACGTCTCTGCCTTCCTCATTCTTTCCTTATGCTTATTAAGATTTTTTTGTTCATTTTAATGTGCTGGCCAATTTTTTTTTTCTTTTCATTGCCCTCCCCCTTCTCATGGTGCCAGCGTGGTGGTGGGACAAAATGTCCAGCGCAGTTTCTATGGGGAGATTCTACACAGGGTGGAGACTGTGATCGTAGTAATACAGTAGTATGACTGCCAAACAAAAGCAAGCCTGGCTTTGTGCTCCAGGCACACAACTACCAACTCAAGAGGCCTGGTTTCTATTCTCAGCTCTGCCATTCAATTCCTACGGGACAGGAGACATGCAACTTCACAGGGACAAATGGAGCGTTGATTTTGTCTGTGTAACTCCCCTGACGGCTGCAAGATTGCCCATACTAATAGACTGGCTTCTCATACCTTGTAATCCAAGCCGTCGGAGCAGTTAAACACAACACACTGGATGGCAAGTGCTTTGGCAAGATCTTTAGTAGTCTCTGTTTTACCAGTTCCAGCAGGTCCAGCAGGGGCTCCACCGAGGTCCAGCTGCAAAGCTCCCATGAGGCAAAGGTAGCACCGATCCTGTGAGATTCATACAGAACTGTTACATATGGATGAGAAGGTATTTGCCACAGCTTCTGCTACTTTTCACGTTTTCTCACTTGTTTTAAACCCTTCACAGGCCTGCTGGCAGATTTACAAACATGCTGTGGATAAGTTGGCACCAAACAGTATGGCGCCAACCCCTCTTTGGAGCTACCCACGCAGATGACACCAGCTGAAGATTTGCCCGTGGCACCAAACAGTACGGCGCCGACCCCTATTTGGAGCTACCCACGCAGATGACACCAGCTGAAGATTTGCCCCAATAGATTTAACTCAGCAAAAATTGTCCAAAATCCACCATTAAAAAGCCCAGCCTGGCATAGTCACATAGAGTGGGCTATATTCTGAAGTCCATACTGCACATGCGTCTGATTTTCCAACGGGCCAATTTGGATGGTTCATTGCAATAAAAAACTCAGTTCAAAGCCTGTCCACAAATATTCCTAAATGTTCTTTTTCACTGTAATAGAAAATGCCCAGATGTGCTCAATATTAGCTGTTCTCTCCCTCTGGGGATCTGGCGTTGGGCACTGTCGGAAGACTGGGCTAGATGGACCTTTCGTCTGACCGAGTGAGGCTGTTCTTATGTTCTAGAATCTAGACATCTTTGCAGAGGTATATATGGACATCTTGAGTCCTTTCTCCAAAGTTAAGTTAAAAAATAGCAACAGGCTGTTATCGTCCAGTGCACTTTAGTTTTATTTTGCTACAAAAAAGATAATGTAATGAAGGCACATAAACCCTTGCTTTGTACAGTGCTACAAGTCAACCTGATACTAAAAGATTTCTAAATACCCATTACAAGTTATTCGCTACCAATACTTCTAATGCAACAAAACCCTCTATAAATAATGATCAGGAGCATAAGTAAATACATACAGTCAGCGGAGTTATCACTAATCTTGGACATGCTCCCAGGTATTCGTAACCATAAGTATACTGAGATAAAGCCATCCTGGCAACACAATTATCCAGATCAAGATCCCAATAATAACGTAGTTGTCTCTGCCAATCAAAATTGTCTGCAGAGTCCACCTACAGAGAGAACACACAGTGTATGTTTGAATGAGTTTTTTTTCCAAGCAGTTAACGTGGATATTTTTGTACAAAATGTTATTTTGGGGGGGAAAAGACAGCTACTTTACCTTTTCTGCCACAAGTTCACTAACAATATCTCTTGCATGCACATCAATAGTTATCAGCGCTGTTATAATATTTCTGTGCAATTTCGGAAGGACACCACGGACTAATCCAGCCAGTGCATTTAATCTCTATAAATAAATTTTAAAAGTGTGAAAAGGTTTTCTCACGACACTGAAAATATCAGAACTTTGACGATAAGCAGTCAGGTCTTCAGCAGGTACCAACTAGCACAGCTCCAGGATATGTCTCTAGCTAAGAAGTGAACGTTTAAGGGTATGTCTACACTGCATACTTATTTTTAAATAAGCTATTCCGGAATAGTTATTCCGAAATAGTTTATTTCGAAATAGCACGTCTACACTGCAAGGAAGCCTCAACATTAGTCCGAGGCAGGCTTCCCTAATGTAGACGTGCTATCTCGATTTAGAGCCCCAGGAGGCAATAGCAGAAGTGGAGTATCTACACCCGCCTTATTTCGAAATATCTATTTTGGAATAGGCATTATTCCTCATAGAATGAGGTTTACAGATTTTGGAATAAGCCATCCGTTATTTTTAAATTATTTTGAAATAACGGAATGGCTGTGTAGATACTCGCATTGTTATTTCAAAATAGGTTCTCTCAAAATAACAGTCCAGTGTAGACACCCCCTAAGAAATAAAATTGTACGTTTTAGAGATTTTGTGGGTTATTTAGAATACAGCTGTTTTACAATGAAAATAAAGCTTGCATGCATTTTTTTCCATTTTGATAGCTTTCACATGGTTTTAAAAATCATGTAAGAAATAACAGAAAATCAAACAGACCGGTGCTGTGGAAGCTGACTACCATACTTGCCAAATATCAGCTCCATCGGGGAGTCAAATATTATCAAACACCAATTTGAAAGTATTGCCACTATTTGGCCACTACACACTGAAACCTCTACCGCCTTTGGCTGACCCCTCCCACAAAAGACCCTATGCATAGCGCCCCAGACTCATACTAAGAGGCAGTTTCACACACCTACTCACACAACTAAACAACCATTTTTGATCAGCGTTTGGCAGAGATGGGCACTCACATTTCCCTCCAACCCATCATTCCCTAGCAGCAGGGTATCAACACCCATCCTCTTCAACCATCTCTCAATTCTTCTGCCTCCAGAATCCTTGTTTGGAGACAGACCCAAAAGCAGTGTTAAGGATGAAGGGTTAGTGAGGCTGGCTGCAGGCATGATGGGCAGGAAACAAGTTACTGTTTGCAAGATTCTCCTTCATGATCTTGCGTCTGTAAAGCCCTACTGCAGGAAGCTAGTTAGCACAGAATTCCCTGAGAGAGAGGCACTGCATTTTTAAAACCAGCATCTCCCCGATGTCATGTCAAGTACACAGTGGCTTGTGAAGATACGAACAAAATTCCATGCAGCGAGCCCTACAGATTTCAGCTGAAGCAGCCTTTAAGATTGCTATTCCCCGGGTGGAGTAAGCCCTGAGATGGCTCAGACACATGCCTGTCACCTTCTCACTACTGGATACACAGACTTGGCCACTTGGCAGAACTTGACTTTCTTTTGAAAACTTAATTCAAAACTCATTTTCAAGCCTGGCCCAACAACACATTGCCCTCCAATCCCCTCCCATCCTGGTGCATAAAGACTCACATCAAAATTTATTTTCTCAAAGTCAGTTAATGCTTGTAAGTGATCGTGATCTCCTTCTAAGCACTGAGTCAGATCCCGGCACCACATGAGCTGAGAAATCGTCAGCACAACCTGTATAAAAGAAACATAAGAATACTAAGGAGGTGTCTTAGAGAATTAGGCAGAGTAGGAACACAGGTACAACAATGATGGGGTCACACAAATAAACAAGGCCATGATTCTGGAAGCGGCATGGGCTGAAATTAGACAACTCACAGGCTTAAAGCTAAGTGGATGTTTAGATGTTTGCAGGATCGGGGCCATAGTAAGTGGGTAGGTGTGACATACCGTCTGCTATCCAGACCAATGAAGAGCCATGTTACCCCTGGCCTGCAACCTTGGGTGCCTTACAGTGCCTTGCTGAAAGTAGTTCTTTTCTGGAGAACTCACAAACAACCCTCCAGCATGCAAACCACACCCCGAAATCTGTATGTAACTAGGGTTACACTCGGGCTTTTACCAGACTTGATTATACCGCAGTTAGACCCAAACATGCTCCCAGGCCTGGATTTTCCGTAGGACAGTCCAAAGATAGCAAGTCCATTATTCCTTTACTATACAACAACTTCTTGCCTTAGACTTGTTCAGATACTTTAAGTTAAACACACTGGATTAGAGTCCCACGGGCAGTTTCCTTTTTTCCCCCCTCAGGTGCAGTGAGCGAGTGCTCAGTGAGAGAGAAAGTGATGTTCTGACAGTGTTTGCCCCTCCTTTTTATAGTTTATAGCTCCTCTCTGAAAAGCATTTCCAGCTGAGAACCAAGAGACAGGCCATCTGCTGGAGGAAGGATGTTCCCTGCTAGGCTTTTTCACCTGAGTGAGCTTTCTTTGTTTTCTCCCTTCCCCTTTCTCCTTGATGACTCCATTTGCTGCTTAAATGCAAATTAAGACAGGTGTGTTTGACCAGGTTGGTGTTAGGTGAGTTTCAATGTGGATTTTAATATCATACAGGAGAAACATATAACTTTACACAGAAAGCTGCTACCCACATTTGCAATGCTATTGTTGATCAGCAAGTTATGAGTTTTCATATGATTCCTCACAAGGCCCACCTCATACAAACACTGCAACACTGTGCAGGGTGTGATCATGGGTGTATTGCATCACAGAAGGTTTAAAAAAAAAACACACTCCAGAATCAGTATGGCTTACCTGAAGGTGTATTGCATCACAGAAGGTTAAAAAAACCACACTCCAGAATCAGTATGGCTTACCTGAGATGGGTGTCCAGCAACAACCCATTCCAGTCTCACTCTGGTTTGATAATCAGCAATGGCAGCTTTAGATAGGCGTCTCAGAGAACTGAACATGGCTTCTTCTACTTTACTAAGCCAATCTTCTACATTCCCTCTGGCCTTGAGTCCTTTCCCTAAGCTAACCTAAAATCAATAGCTGTGTTAGCCATGTAATATCTCCTCTGAATTTATACCTTCATACCAGGAAGCATTAATGCCCAGGAAAAAAAAAACCAAGTGAGATTCACCAGTGTATTAGTCCTGGAAGCATTAATGCCCAGCAAAAAAATACCAAGTGAGATTCACCAGTGTATTAGTCCATTTTGATGCCAGTGTATCTCCACTGAACTCTATGGAGCGCTAGCTTTATAAACCTAGAATAATAGTTATGGGTCTGGTCTAGTCTGTATTTTATTCATATTAACAGTTGTATTTATAACTTTTTCCTTTCACATACTGTGTATACGGAAAACAAATGTACTGGAAACAGATTAAAAGAATAATAAAATATTTACTCACCCTCTCTCCCTCAGGTGACAACATTGCTAAAATATCATTAGTAAAAACTTTTTCTTGTTCTCCCTCAGATGGAGTCATCATGGCAAATTCTAGTTTAGAAATGGAATCAAAGCATTTTCTTAAATGAGGCTGAACAGCTTGAGGGTTGCGAGTCTGAGCCAAGATTTCCAGGAGTTCATCATTTGATAAAAAGTAAAACCTGTTTGATAAACAAAAGAAGTTTGGACACAAAGTATTTTACATTAAAACAAACAAACAAACAAACAAACAAACAAACAAACAAACAAACAAACAAACAAGCATTCTCATGTTAGCTAAAAATAGCACACTTTCAAATTATTTTATATCATAATTCAAGTTTCTTGCCTTTTGTACTAGTGCAGGTTAACCTCGAGACCTGACTAGTGCCAAACCAGAGAATTTGCTGAATCAAGGGAACTCAATATTGTCTAACAGCGTTACCAACACTTCCCCTGTTTACTGGGCTGTTAAAAGACTTCTAGGGGTAAATTTGAGGTAAATCACAGCACAGAACACTGACAGCCAGGACTGGTGGCTGTAAATGAACTTTATGGGACCACGGGCAAGTTGGCCATACCCATGATAGGTGGACATCCTTCTAACTAAAATCATGCTGGACTATGGGTGTTGCCAGACCAGAGAGTGCTGGATTAGAGAGGTTCAACCTGTAGCACACAGTATAATGTTAAATCAAATATATGCCTTTTATTGTTGCACTGATTGTCTGCAATAACTTTTCCTCACCTGGGAAAGATAACTCGCTTGGACTCCAAATAAGCCTCTAGGCACTTCTGAATTTGATCAAGCAGCCCATTGTTATTCTGAAAGGTCTCTAAGAGGCCTATTAAGAGAAAATAAAGAAAACGGTGTAGTGAGAATAAAAAGCAAAAGAGAAATGTTGTGATTAAAAACACAAAGAAAAACTCCACTGTTTACAAGTGATGGCTGAAACCCATTTGCCAGATAAAAGCTAAATACAGTTACACGCTAATAACAGCAGTGTGCATTTTAGGGCTTGCAAAGAATTCTCCTTGGAGAACAGGGCACATATTCAATTACTGCCTCATCCGCTGAAGTCATTTTAATTTAAGGCTACATGGGAACAATTCCTATCCCTCATATGCAGCCTGAAAAAACAAGGAATCCTGCCCCTGGCTTGGAGATATAAGAACTCATCCTTCAGAACAGAGGGTACCACACAGCCCTCCTGCAGCTCTTTGGCTGCTACTCCAACCTCTGGGCTACAGTGTCTGGGAGCTACCCAGGCACAGGGATAAGTGCCGTTTTCTGGCTCCAGCGAGCCTTTCCTCCATCCCTCTGAGCCAGCCTAAAAAAAGCCAAGAGAGAGCAGTACTCAGTGGTGAGTAAGACAACCCCTGCTTGTGCCCTTGCATGCCTTGTGCAGCAAAATACTTGAGGAAATCCAGCAAGTATCCCTTAAAATACAGTGAGCGCACTGTACAGTCTGGAGACTATGAAGAACGTCAATGGACAGGAAGCGATTCCAACAACTAAAGTCTAAAAACCTGGAAACCGGGGTTAACGTGCTACTGGCAAAAGCGGATTCTGCAAGAATGGACCAGTAGAAAGATGAATGTTTGGACTGCTGCAAATGCAATTGTGATCCAAATGACAGAGCCCATGTCCAGCGCCACTCAATGCTCAACATGGAAAACCGTCGGGCTGATTTTCCATTGCCCTGCACCTTTTGAAGTCATGGGGACACCGGTTCTAAGTGAGTTTTCAATAGCACTTAAAGAGGATGGTAATGATTTCACCCGCAAGGCACTTCATTTCCAGTGCATTTGCAGGACCAAGCCCTGAAGGAAGAGATAGTGAAGCAGGGGAGAGATGAAAAGATGAGAGTCACAGGTTGGCTTAACAAGGATCACCTGTTCCCCTACAAAGAGCAACAGGAAGCTGGGTGGAGGATGCTAAGGAGATCAAAGGCTGCAGCAGGGAGTCATTGGGCTCTAACAGAAAGACCTAGGACTCCCAGCAGGTCTACATTTACAGTGCTACAGTGGCACAGAAGGACTGTTGTAATTCTTCAGTGTAGACACAACCTATGTGGATGGGAGCAGGCAATCCACCTCCCCGAGATGCGGTAGCTAGGCCACCAGAAGACAGCGCTATATATACCGGGGCGGGCATCAGCTCAGCTTTACTACACTGCTTACTTAGAGTGTGGGGTTCACACACCCCTAAGCAATGTTGTTAAGCCAACTCAATTGTCTAGGACTGATCATGTCTAAGCCTACACGCAAGAAAGGCCTGGGAGGACCCTGATTGAGGTTTAGTGCATGTAGTTGAGGCAATTGTATTTTGAACTGTTTTGTGGAAACACCAGACCCCAAAGAGATTAATTTTGGACAGAGAGAAACTCTGCAAGTGTAAGAACAGACTCCAGCCAGGTAAGATTGAAAATGGCCTGCCAAGGCAGAGAACAGATATGGGGGAGGACAGAAGGCCCAGGACTGATTTTTGCTTTCTGCTTTATATCAATAAACTAGACTCGGATGCAGGGGCCCTACTGGACAAAAAAGCCCGTATGTAGTTTATTTAAGGAGCTCCCTAAGCCCTGGTCTACACTAGGGAGTTGTTTCAAAATAACCCCCCTTATTTCAAAATAATAAGCGGCGCATCCACACTACTAAGCCTGTTGTTTTGAAATAATGGACTGGTTATTTAAAATCAGTACTCCTGCTTTCCTCAGGGAATAACGCTTATTCCAAAATAGTGATTTTGAAATAGCGAGTGTGTGGACACTCCGGTGTCGCTATTTCAAAATAACTCCCCAGAGTCATTTGAAGTAATTACTCCCCAGCACTTCCCGAGGCTCTAAGTTGAGGTGTGTTCAAAATAATGGACTAATTTCAAGGCTCCCTCATAGTGGGGACATGCTATTTTGGTTTTGCTATTTCAGGAGTTATTACTTAGTATTTAATTATTTCGAAATAATTTCCTAGTGTAGACACACCCTGAAAGTGGAAAGTGAGGCAAGGTGCTGTGTGCAGGACTTTCTTCAGACCCACAGAAGATGGCTAAGAGATGGAAAGACCACTTGATGACAGTGAGATGAAAAACCACAAAATATAGGGGAATAGGTGGAGAACGTAGCACAGTGAAAGAAAAAGAGTTGCAAGGAGAGAAAGTAAAATGGAGACGATACACGCTGGCTACGTCTACACTGACATGATTTTCCGGAAATGCTTTTAACGGAAAAGTTAAAAACATTTTCAGAAAAGCGTGTCTAGATTGGCAGGATCGCCATTTTCGTGATCGGGGCTTTTTTGCGGAAAACAAATCTCTGCTGTCTACACTTGCCCTTTTGTGCAAAAGTTTTTCGGCAAAAGATTTTTGCCCGAACAGGAGCAGCATAGTATTTCCACAAAAGCACTGACAATCTTACATGAAATCGTCAGTGCTTTTGTGGAAATTCAAGCGGCCAGTGTAGACAGCTGGCAAGTTTTTCTGCAAAAGCAGATGATTTTGCGGAAAAACTTGCCAGTCTAGACACAGCCAGTACTGAGTGGGAAGAGAAAGCAGAGTGAAACCAGGAAGAGAGAGACTGCATAAAGACAGCAAGTTTGGAATTCGATTACAAAAAGTTGATTGACAACATATTGCAATTAAATGTAGTACTCAGTAAACAGAACACAACTGTTTCATTCCTCTGTGCTGCAGGTGGAGTGGTCTTGGTGTGGAGCAGTACAGGTGTTTTTCATCCTGCTAACCAACATCGTTGTCAAGCTAGGCTGTGCTGAATGAGGATTACCCTCTCATACAATGACTTGTACATGGATTGAGATAATATACTGTTATTTTATACCAGGCTGAGTAGCAGCACGAAGAGCATTTGGCAGACGATTGACTTTTCTCATTATTTCCTTCCAGGACTTATCCACCTGTAAGAACATCTTTGCCTCTCCAGGTAGCTGCCTCTGTATATCAGGAGCACTAAAAATACTTTCTAAGTAAAGCCAGTTTCTCTGACACGTCAACCACTCTTCCTAGAAAAAAAGGAAAACTTGAGCAATCAGACCCTACTGTACGAAGGAGAACTTTTGAAATACAGTCTGAATTTTCAAATTATGAAGCAGAAGAAAATCTACTAACATTAAACATGAATCTGCTATAGTATTTCATTTCTCCCTCCCTTAGACAGCAAAACTTCAGTATTCATGACACAATCTGAGCCCTTTGGCTCAACCACCAGACACTTGATGAGACAGCATGCACTTTGCCCCTCCAAAAAGATCGCTCAAGATCATTTTCTATATGCAGTTATGAAGAATGTATATTTCCAACACACACACACCAAGTAAACGCCATTTGAGAACATGCCAAGCTGCTTTGGTATAAGAGAACACGCAGTGATTTTTTTCTTTTAAGGAAAATAAAGGCTAAAATCTATGCTGCTCGAGAAGAGCCTTCATTTTATGCCATCTGCCAGTATTTGGCCTCTGGCAAACAAAGAGTTAACGGCAGGCCTGCTTCCTCCCTCCTTTGCATCATGGGAAGGCTGACAAGGCGGTGCTGGAGAGTGCAGGCCAATCAGGTACTCCAGCAGCACCAGAACGTCAGGCGCTGAGGAGGAACCGACACAAGCCTTTTTTGCTCCAAATTTCCTACTATGCCTACTTCTCTGGCAGCTCCACTGAAGGGAGCAGCCTCAGAGGCGCGAGAGTACGCAGCACTTTCAGTACCAGGTCCCCCAACCCCGCTCAGAGTAGGTCTACGCAACGCTGGCAGATATTGGTGCCTTGTTTGCACTGTTGCTGTTGTTGGTGGAGTTGCAGTGGTGACAGCAACAGTGAGACGTTACAGAGGAATAAGCCTCAGGCTCTGTACTTTGTTACCTTATAGCCTCTTTGCACCAGCTACAGGGCCTTGGACCTTGATTCTCCATTAATCATCTGCAATTTTTCAGAGCAGAACCCTTCCTCTAGCACAAGACATTAACCTTGTGCACCTCCCAGCTGAACTGGCCCAGAATCATTCCCAACTATCAAACCTTCCCGCACAAAATGCCCCGTCTCGAGAACTCAGAGCTGACCTTGTCATCTCCACTCCAACAACAAGGCGCCAGCTACCCTACGTCACGAGATGCTTGGACCTTGCCTCATGTGGGCTGCCAGACCCACCCACGACCCACAGCAAGACCTGGGAAGATCTGATGCTACCATTACTGAATGTTCTTCCTATGCACCCTAGCATCTTTCTGCTTGCAATCAACAAACACGTCTAACTTGCAAAAGCTATTCACTTGCCAATTAGATAGCTTTGGCAGCATGAATGTTAAACAAATATAAGCTCAAACAGTGAGGCATCCTGTGGCACCTACAACTTCTAATTAATACAATTAGTCCATCTTCTAGGGTTCAAATTGGCAGTCTAATTTGAAGCTAGAGGGACACTTCGGTCAATGTCAGTAACCCTGCTTTCATGAGGAGTACGGGAAATCATTCCTTCAACTTCCTGCAGTGTAGACAGCACCCAATGCTGAGTTACGCTACTTCAACTTCAGTTACACAATTAACGTAGCTGACGTTGCATCTCTTAATTCGACTTTGTCCCATAGTATAGACATACCCATAGAGACTAACAGATTTATTAGGGAATAAGCTTTCATGGGTAAAACCCACTTCATCAGATGAATCATATAAGCCAGTTATTTGAACTGTGTAAGTCATGGACATATTTTGAATAATGGTTTTCCGAACAAATATAAAATCAGTTCGGGATTTTGTAACATCACCTGGCAAAATTAGATTTAAAAAGATCGCCTTTTAGCAATTTCAACATATTCAGTATTTTAAATAAACCACTTTGCGCTTTATTTGAGACTCAGGCAAAGTCTTACAAAGCTGTTTTGTTGTTTGCTACTCACCAATGTTTGACTAAATAAGGCGAGCTGCTTTTGCCATTCATCCACACGAGATTTGAGCGGGCCCACATATCGTGAGGAGGCTATAGTTGATACATTAATAGTGCTGTCATCAAGAAGAACCTTAAATAAGAAGTACACAGTCTGTCATTTACTGTCCTAGGGCCTAATTCTCCACTGGCAATGATCAAACTAAAACAGATGAAGGTATGTTATTTCAATACAGTACAAATAGTTTGTTTTGCAAAGCTTTAGTGGAATCAAATTTTGGCTGAATTAAAGTATATGGTATAAATTTTATAAATCAGAGAAAATAGGCCCTGATGTAGCAAATGGCTCTCCACAGAGGGACCAAAGAGCATGCAAAAAGGGTATGCCGCAGGAAGCCAGCTACAAAGGGCTGTAGCGAGGTTTTATGCAGTTATCCAGCTAATAATTCTTCCTCTAGTTTTAATGTTTGATATTAACCAAAGTATTTTCAATTTTCTAAGATATTTACATATTGTAATAGATATTACAATTGTTAACTTTGGTGAACTGAGTGTTTATGGAAAACGACAAACTCTCTTAAGAAAAGATTTTGTTATCAAATGGATAAGCCATCAGAATGAGAATTTGTATTTTGTTTACAGAGTTTTAAAAATAATATAAAATGTTCCATCAACATAAACCATTACTAGGTCACTGCCTGAATTTTATAAATATAACCTAGTTATAACCTAACTATAATTGCTAGTTTCATCTGAATTTTTTATAAGTTTCCCCCTAACTTTTCTCAGATTCCTATTTAATGCAAGCACTGACTTACCTGAATCTCATCTGTACCACCAAGGATAAAAACATCCTTCGAATCACGATGAGGAAGAACAACGAATTCAGTTGTTTTCCAAGAATCCTCCACCTGGTTGAGAAATTGTAACCCTTGTAAATCTGTTTACAACACTAAAATATTTAGGTTTTACAAGTAAATAAAATGTAGATCATCCTAATGAAAAAAACCTCACCATTTCACCTAGATAGACACTGTCAAACAATTATTTTACTTTGTTATCTCTTCTCAGAAGAAAAAGGGAAACATCTCTGCTGCCTGTGTCCTTTTACATTTAACAAGCGTCGAACTTTTTTTTATTCTGCATTAAATGATAATAAACATGGCTTGGTTTGTGTTTGTCTATAATAATGTCAACTTATGGATACTGTTCAAGTTGCAGCATGACTCCAGCACAGACTTGCTGACATTAGGAGGTATGGGCTACTGTAAAGAGAGCCAAACAGGTGCAGACTGTTCTTTGGGTCCAATATTCTCTGCTAGGGAGAATTCTATCAGCAGTTTCCCTCCAGCATCGGTCTCTGTCTGTATGAGCCCTCTTGGATATGCTCCTTGGAGGGGCAGAGATCAGTTGTAACAGAAACAGTATTTATGCTTTAGATTTTGTTCAAATATAAACAATTCTACTTACCATTAATATGGTACTTATATACTCTGAACTGTAATAGAGAGACACTTTCTAGCTTAATCATCCATTTTAACAAAAGAGTCAAGGTTTTCATCATGTCAAAAGCAAAGACAAATGTTTGTAAAAGTTACCTTTTTGAGAATGGTCTCTAAGGAAGCTTCTCCCGAAGCTTGTCCAGAAACATCCTGAATTTCTTGAGCAAAGTCAAAGGCACTGAGCTCAACAAGTCGAGCCAAGGATAACGGGAATTCCAGATCTACCAGTGGCGCATTAACTATTTGTTCCAAAACTGCCCAGTGTCTGGGTTTCAAACAGGGGTTTCTCAGGTCTGTGATAACTGGAAGCTAAGAAAATAAAACAAACAACATATTTATTTTTCATTCATGTACTTTATAACTGTAGGCCTCTCTCTCAAAGCACTGTCTTTTACATAGAGCTTGTTACTAAAAATTGTAAAAGATTTTTTATCGATATTTTTATTTAATTATTTTTAGGAAAAAAATTACCTTTCCGCCACAGTTTTTTGTTTGAAATTTTGGAATAATGTACAAAAAGATTAGTTGCATAGTAGTATTTTATAGCTCTATGATACAAAATCTTGTTTTTTAAAATGGAAATTTTATTTTTTGGTTCTTTTGCCCCATTTCCATTTTGCCCCTGGAAGAGTTATATAAAATGAGGGATTCTTTGAGACTTATTGAAAAATAAGAATCATGTGTAAATAGCATGTTTTTCTAAAAAGCTTTTGGAAAGCTAATTTTAAGTTGCTTTTGTACCTTTTCTCTCATCTTCTCCACATTCCCTTTGAGCTGTGGCACTATATTATTGGGTGGCAAACCTTTTTCCAATTGATTCACAAATTTAGCATACTTAGAAACTTGAGAATTCAGGTATTCTGGATCCAGGCTATCAAATTTACACTGTGGAAATCAAATACAGAAAACGTGCTAATTAATGGACATGTTCACTTTGAATATTATCTTACTCCACCAAGAAATCAAGAACTATTCATATCTGACACATAGTGCATACAACAGTTACACTATATGGTCAGATCTTGCGAGCCTTGGGCACTCCAAGTTTCCAGTTTTTATACCCCACACATCAGTCATTTCTAGAAAATGTATCGGACATTTTTACAGAGTTTCAAAAGGCAGTATATTCTAAAGCAAAGCAGTATCATAGACACCTATTTCAGCAAACACAGTTCAAAGAAATGACATACCTGTAATTTGTATTCTCCGGCAGTTCAGCAAGGTACTATAATGAAACACTAATGATAGGACGAACGACACAGTGTGAACAGCCAAATTATGCAAATTAATAGGAAAAGGCCATTCTGTGGTTTGATGATAGGCAAAGCTAGCAGTCTTGATGCCTGCAGTCTTCCATTGCCACGATATATGGAACAACCACAGTCTTTCTTAAACACCTGATCAACAAAAAGCTACGAACACGAGCACATTTCCACACAACTAAAATCCAAGCATTGTCTGCTTTGTTGTCACTAGGGACTAAACTTGCTCTAAATCTCTATACAGTGCACATCTGTTGGAGTGGAGGTGCTAGCTGCCCTAAACCTCAGAAGTCACAGCAGTTCCCACTAGTAAAGCCCTGGGAACCAACGCGCAAGAATGGGGCATGATTGTAATGACTGAGGTTTTATATGTTGTCACATAATAATATGATTTACTGACTTATGTAGACTGCAGTAGCACCTCAAATCATTGTTCAGGATCCCACTGTGCTAGGCCCTGTCCATCATGTAATGAAATGATGGCCGTGGTTATAAAGAGCTTCCAAAATGTGTATATAATCACTGAGGCAACCGATGGTTAGAATACAGAACATATCAATGAGATGTTTAAAATTAATGGCAAATAAATGTAATAAAAAAACTTCACAAATCATGCCATTGTCCAGTGGAAAATATCACGGCAGGAGGTGAGAATGACAAAAACTATATCTATATGTGAAGGAGGAGGCAAAGTCATTTAATAACTCGGGAGAATATTAGCTGTTTCGGTGGCCAAAACACAAGTAACCAAAACTCATGCTTTGGAGCATCATCTGACCATGCAACATCCAACTCATCTATATTTTTAATAGAAGCTTGAAGAAAGACAAAGGAAGAAAACTGAAACTTCATCTAAGGGAAGACTATTTTTATTTTTTTAAATTTTGCTTTCCCCCTTTAGTAGCCTTAGTAACTGCAGATGCAGCAACACACAAAGATAAAGTAACCTTCATAATGCAAACATTTGTTCTAAATGGTTAAAATGAAGCTCACCAATCTACAAAATTGCTGCAAAGTTATTCAAGCTTTACAATTTGCTTCAGAATACTCACAAGATAGTATACAGAGCAATTCAAGAAGAATAACTCCTGGAATAATGTACAAAAAGTTTAGCTACACAGTAGTATTTTATAGCTCTATGATACAAAAACCTATAATGCCATTTTGGAAAAATAAAATGAATTGTATTTTTCTACATATTAATAGAATTTTTATTATAAGCTATATTGTACATCATTTTTATACTTGGTCATTTAGGAATCAAAGCATTTCAATTTACCTCCATCCATTCTGTCTGGAGTATTTCCCATTCAGAACAAGAATCCCAAAGCAGCTGTTTGAGTTTCAGTTCTGCACTAACTTCCTCTAAAGCATCGAATTTTGAAATTTCCACCTTAAAGAGAAATGTTACATGTAATTTTTAACAATGAAAATTTTAAAACAATCTAATATATATTTTTAGAAGCTTCACGTTTGCAAATTGTACAGTTAACACTGGGGAATAAAAACAGGAAATCTGGAAATGGCAGAGATGCTTAATGACTTCTTTCTTCAATTTTCACCAAGAAGGTTGGTGTGACTAGATGTCTAACATAGTGAATTCCAGTGAACACGAGGGCCTCATGAGTCACCAGGGCCTCATGAAATACAACCTAGACTACTCAAGGAACCACCTGAAGAGATATCTGAGCCATTAGCGATTATCTTTGAAACGTCATGGAATATAGAAGAGGTTCTAGAAGACTGGAAAAGTGCAAACATAGTGCCAATGTATAAAAAGAGAAACAAGGGCAACCCAGGAAATTACAGACCAGCCAGCTTACTTTCTGTACCAGGAAAGATAATGGAGCAAATAATAAAGTCATCAATTTGCAAACATTTAGAAGATAATAGGGTGATAAGTAACAGTCAGCATGGCTTTGTCAAGAACAAATTTCAAACTAACCTAATAGCTTTATTTGACAGGGTAACAAGCCTTGTGGATGTAGGGAAGTGGTTGATGGAGTATAGCTTGATTTTAGTAAAGCTGCTGATACTGTGTCACATGACCTTTTCATTAAACAAAAGGCAGGGAAATGCAACCTAGATGGAGCTGCTATAAGATGGGTGCAAAACTGGTGGGAAAACTATTCCCAAAGAGTAAACAAAATACAGGACTATGTAGCACTTTAAAGACTAACAAGATGGTTTATTAGATGATGAGCTTTCGTGGGCCAGACCCACTTCCTCAGATCAAATAGTGGAAGAAAATAGTCACAACCATATATACCAAAGGATACAATTAAAAAAAAATAAATAGTGTAAAATAATGACTAGTAAGTCATGAGTAGTAAGTAATAAATAGTAAGAAGAAAATAAGGTGATAAGTAACAATCAGCATGAGTATGTCAAGAACAAATCATGTCAAACGAACCTATTAACTTTCTTTGACACAGTAAAAAGCTTTGTGAATGGTTGCGATAGATGTGATATGTCTTGACTTTAATAAGGCTTCTGATATTGTCTTGTATGACCTTCTCATAAACAAAATAGGGAAATATACCATGGATGGAGCTAGTATACACAGGTGCATAACTCGCTGAAAAACTCTTCCCAGACAGATATCAATGTTTCACAGTCAAGCTGCAAGGGTATTACAAGTGGAGCCCCACAGGAATGAGTTTTGGGTCCAGTTCTGTTTAATATCTTCATCAATTATTTAAATAATGGCATAGAGAGAGGAACAATCAGTTTCACACATAGGGTATGTCTACACTACAGCGTTATTTCGAAATATCTTATTTCAAAATAGTTATTTCAAAATAGCTTATTTCGAAATAACGCGTCTACACACAAAAATGAATTTTGAAATAGCATTTTGCTATTTTGAAATAGCATGTCCACACTGAGTGGACACTGAATCGCATCAAGTCAGGAGTTACTTTGTGTGGCTGCTGCCTGAGGCTGTCCAAGGCCTGTGCTTAAAGGGACCCCACTGGACAGCCGGTTCTCAGATTTCCCTGCTTGCTTGCCTACCTCGCTGAGGGACAGCAAAGCATTTTGTCTCTGCGTGCTCTGGTTGCCCTCACTCGAGACATCACAGCATTCTGTAACATGGAGCCAGAGCTGCCCCTGGGCACTCTGGTGCTTCTCGTGGACGCGTTGCTGCAAGCCTGACTGCACTTTCTGCAGACTACCATCCCGGAGGTCCATTGGGGGGGGCTGTCAGTATCCAGGAGGCCCTGCGGGAGAGCTTCCACCCTGAGGAGCACTGGGAGGCAGGCTCCAGGGAGCTGGTAGACTGCTCCTGGGGAGCAATGGAGGGCTGGCTGCCAGTGGCTTGCTGGCTCATGTTTTGGGGCCACTGGGTCGGGGCAGTGACTGCTGGCTCTGGGCTGGCAGGCTTGGAGCTGGCACAGGCACTGTGGCCAGAGTCAACTGCTTTAAGGGCTCCAGGGAGTGGGGAGGGAGAAGAGTGTTCTTGGTTGAGGCTGGAGTGGCCACCAGGGCACCCTGGGAAGATTGGAGGCCCCCTATTTCGATATAAGTGTCTACACAGCTCTGATTTCGAAATAGCTATTTCGAATTTGGCGTTATTCCTCATGGAATGAGGTTTACCAAGTTCGAAATAAGCGCTCTGCTATTTCAAATTAATTTTGAAATACCGATTTGGCTGTGTAGACGCTAGTAAAGTTATTTCAAAATAACGGCTGTTATTTCGAAATAACGGCTGTTATTTTGATATAACTTTGCTGTGTAGACATACCCATACAGAATGGAAAACTTCTGCCTCGGGAGGAGTACTGCAGAAAGGGATCTAGGGGTCATAGTGGATCACATGCTAAATATGAATCAACAGTGTGAACAAAAAGAAGAAAAAAAGCAAAAACAGCAAACATTCTGAGTTGTATGAGAAGGAGTGTGTGAGATAAGAAGTCATTCTTCTGCTCTACTCCATGCTAATTAACCTTAGCTGGAGTACTGTGTCCAGTTCAGGGTGCCACATTTCAAGAAAGATGTAGAGAAATTGGAGAAGGTCCAGAGAAGAGAAACAAAAATGGTTAAAGGTCTAGAAAACATGACGTATGAGGGAAGATTGAAAAAACTAGGTTTGTGTAGTCTGGAAAAGGGTTACATGAGAGTAGCTTTCAAGTACATAAAAGGATGCTACAAGGAAGAGGGAGAAAAATTGTTCTTAACCTCTGAGGATAAGACAAAAAGTAATGGGCCTCTGTGCACAAGCAGGTTTAGGCAAGAAATACCTATTTCCTAAATACATAAATAAATAAAGAGACACGAGCAGGGATGTTGACTTTACAGAGTTCTGCTATTCAGAAACACTTGAATCTTTAACATTGCAGAAAATACACTCAGTTCAGACTTCATAAAAGCACAGCAAAGAGCCTAAGGAAAAATTACCTTAAAATTCTTCTGGTAGGATTTATACTGGAATGCCCGTTTCTGCAACTCATCTAGAATGGCTTGCAAGTCTGTTAGAGTTTGTTTGATTTTGGCTTGATCAGCTGCAATATCCAAAATCTGTGGGTCCTGTTACACAAAAATAACTTTTTGTTAGTTTGTTAAATTTACCTCTTAGTCCAGGTTGAGATCAACATCCTTCTATTTCAGGAGAATGGAAATAAATTTTAAACTTAGTGCCATATAGGACCAATGTTTCAATATTCAATTGTATAGCATGTGTGTGAGACAAGATTTAACCTATTTCAAATGACCAGTGTAAATAGGGATGGAAAAATTATGAAGTCTTAAAAGTGTCCAGATCAAATTTCTTCTCTTTATAAATGAAAAATATATTTTCCCCTATCATCTTCAATTTGGCATAAGCTGGTGAAGGCTGGCCCCCCAAATGAATAGATTATGAACCCTCATTATGCCATGGCTACACATTAAAGTCATCTTTCCAGCACTTGAGTGCTTACAACAACATTTGTGAGAAAAATCCCAGTAATGCTCACTTCTGAAAACATATACATTTCTAAATATGTCTGAGCATTATGTATCAAATCCTGACCCTTTATCCACACCACCCTGATTCCAGTGGAACCGGTTTGGCTCCTCTGCCAGTGGTAGGAGGTCAAATTTTGGGGATTCAACGTGGGTTCACAGCTCTGAGAATGCTCAGCCTCCATCATCATGGAGACTCACTATGTTCCAATGCTAGGCACCTTTGTGTGAAAGCAGAAAGGTGAATGGACAAGAGCTAAGCTGATGAACCCTGTCCTGTGCAAAGGCAGTAAGTATGAGAGACATTGCTGAAACTCTGTGACAGGTGAGGGAGAAGGATTTCATCCCTTCAATCCCTGACAGATCCATTGTGCTAACATAAGCTCCTCTGTTTTAGTGCAGAAGACACAGTTTAGTCCTATTTATTTAGATCCATAAGGCTAAATCCTGCCCTCAGAAATACTGAGCAACCCTTCAACTCATACAACACGAGTGAAAATGTGAGCATTTGCACACCAATGCAGAAATTATATACAGTATAAAGATAATCAAAACTGCTCTTTGCAAACCTGAGCTTGCTGTTTCACTTCTTTCACTTCCTCATTGAGCTCGACAACATCTTGGTCTAAATGTTGACAGAATTTGGTAATGCTGGCATCTCTTTCGCCCACTGATTTGTCAATTGCATTGCGAACCGCAACAATGGATGGTTTCAGAGATGCAAAGAGAGCAAAATCTTCAGGAGGCGTAGGTACTAGGTACTGTTCAATCAGCTGATACATCTGAGTTACCACATTCCCTTCTTCTTCAAGGCTTTCAATCTACAAAAACAGTCAGACTTCACCCTGGAGAATCAACCATGTTTTCTTCAGTAATCCTTAGCAGTATGTTATCTTAATTACATTGTTAACAGTATCAAAATATGGTTATTATGGTAAAATAATGTTAATCAGAGGAAGAAAACAAGTCCCAGCAAAAGGTTTTTTAATTACATAAAAAGATAAATAGGTTAATCTTGTCCTTGAATTGATTAGTTTCTTATATCACTGCTATTTGAAAACATCCAAAGTATATCCAGGCAACTGCAGAAGACAGAAATGTTTGGTTGGACTTGTGGTATCTTCTTCAGTATATCCTCCGTAGCACACACTATGTTATGTTTTTCATTTATTCCATTATAGAAAGCTTCGACAGCAAAATATTAGGCAGTGGAACATACAGGCATTCTCCAATTTGCTTTATTTTGCTGGTTGCACGCAAAACTATTTCTAGATGTTCTGCTTCCCACCGGGAGAAGATGGATTTTGCTGCTGCTAAAAGGGTAAAATTTCAGTCTAAAGGGAATTTAAGAACACTATTAGCAGCTGAAAAAGGGAGGTTAAAAACTGAAAATGCTGATAGACTTTTAACACAGCATTCGCCACTTGCGAATGCAATAATAAGCACACATTTTTTAGCTGACAATAATTAGAAACATTTAAAAAAATGAAAACAGGCGGCATTGTCCTTACCAGTAAAGATGTCTCCTCCTAGCAGGAAATCCCCTAGTCTGGAATGGATTATTGGTTTGGCCACATACCCATGTTGTGGCAGGCATGCTGGGGCAGCTCACAGCCAAGGATTTCTGAGATCCCAGCTCAGCCCTACATACACTTGGCAAACTGCATCACAAGCCCAGCTGACATTTTCCAATGTGTCTGGCCCTGAAACAACTCAGCCAGTTCATCTGGTCATCGATCTCATCCTGCACATGAGCAGCTGATATTGTGAGGTTCCTCATCCTGCACTGTAGATTAATACTTCCCATGGCACAAATGAAATTCCATTTGCATACCCTGGCCTATGAGGGAAGCATATTCACTTGCTCCTGCTCAGCAGGACCTCTGCCAGACACCTTTCCAATGCCAGATTTCTCATCCTGCACCATCTTCTTAAAGACTGAGGGATTGTCCCTGGGAAGGGGAACCCGTTGTCCAAAGACCTCGGCCATCAACAAGAGGAGTGTCTGAAGAAACTCTACATATGAGAGGTACCACTAGGCAGTATCAGCACAGCAAACAGTCCCAGAAGGTGGAAGGGCTGCCAGACAGCACCTCATTTCTAGAGGAGAAGGATACTCATAGATAGTGGTCCTGCTAGGCTTGTTTTCTCTAGTCACATCTTCCACTGAGCTCAGTGCATCAGGACTCTGCCAGGAGAACAGTGAGGAGGAGGAGGGGAAAAGAACTCCAGACACAGCCAGTGACCCAGGCCTTTCAACAACACACGGAGCAGAGAGAGTTCTTTTCTTCTCTAGCTACTTCTACTAAAACTGGTAGAATATCGGGCTTGAGACGCAGTTCTCAATTTTCAATATAGGGACCTGTCGCACCAAAATCCCTCACCAGCATGCTGTCTCTGTGATGTGAGATGTCTCTGTGATGGATGCAGTCAGCTCAGTAGGCCGTTCCTGACTAATGAATTGACTGCATTTAAGAAAATAAATCTAACACAGCTTAGATATTACGTCTGATCCAGTCGTATAATTTCTAGCGATGCTCCATTAAGAAATTATAATACAGAAGCTTTCTTTTTTACTTTTGTGGGGGGCTGCAGCACAGGAACACATGTTCTCTCTTACTCATCTTTTTCAAGAAAATATATATACAAAATACACACATTGCTTGCCAAGGCAGTAACCTCCCATCCCTATCTCCTGCAAGATACAATGTACTTACTCGTTCCTGAATTTCATCAAGGAATATCAAGCTGTTAACATATTCTGTAGTGGTGGATGGAAGAAACTCAAGTTTAAATTTGGCATCTTGTGCCTCAGCTATAATGGCAGTCACTTTCTGCTTTCCAATAACCGGGAGCATATCGTTAATGACCTAGGAATCAAAGGGAAATATTAGACCGTGTAAAATAGTTTTAAAGCAAGAGGTGAAGGGCAGTAGTCCTTTCCATTGTCAGATGGGAAATCTGGATTAGATTTTCAGCCCTAGTTTGCTGCCCAATCCTGTAGTCCTTCATTGTTAGAGCAGTCCCTCTGAACTGAATGGGATGATTTTCATGAGGGAGAACTGCAGAATCACATCCCATAAGAACATAAGAATGGCCAGACTGGGTCAGACCAAAGGTTCATCTAGCCCAATGTCCTGTCTTCTGACAGTGGCCAATGCCAGGTGCCCCAGAGGGAATGAACAGAACACAAGATCATCACTCCTGTCATCCATTCCCAGCCTCTGACAAACAGAGGCTAGAGACACCATCCCTACCCATCCTGGCTAATAGCCATTGATGGGCCTAACCTCCATGAATTTATCTAGTTCTTTTTTGAACCCTGTTAAAGTCCTAGCCTTCACAACATCCCAAGGCCAGAGGAGCTGGAAGTAAGGCAAAACAAGCAACTTAGATGGGAACAGTGCCCAAGTCATTTAACAGAGACTCTTCACACCGGTTAAAGATATGGTGGTGACAGTTTGGGAGGGGAGTCCTTCCAGCCTATGTGACCTAGAAGGTCACTGACTATTCCCAGGGGCCTCGTGTGAATGTGATGAATAGCAACTAAAAACAGGTGGCCTCAGGGTTCCATGAGTCATAGAGAAGAGATCCTCATTCTCTGAAACTCACATACAATTTACTGAAATGAAATTGTTATTGTAATACTAACTTTTGGATTTTAGCAGAGCAACTATCTGCCATGTTTCCCAAAACAACTATTATCCAGCCTCAATGAGTACAAATGTATATATTGAAATTCAAAGAAATACATATAATATGGGCTGTAGGCCTTTCTGCCGTTCATTAAAAACACAATACACAAAACTCAAAGAGTAACACCTTCCTCTTCTAGTTACATACCCACCATCTGATAGCACATACATTATGAATCAAAATTTCCCAGCCTTCCCATTTCCTCCCTCCTCCCCCCCAAAGAAAATCCATCTCCAGCTGTCACAACCCTTCTCAGATGCATACACAGACTGGCTCGCAACATGCCAGGTCGATAAATCCAGGCTATTTTGGACCGAAGGGGAGTGAGTTCTAAAGACGAAGAACCCTCATGAAGAACTTTCTGGTAGCAGCTCCTGTTTTTTAACCACGGGAGCTCAGCTCGAGAGCCTCCAATGAGGCTATGTCTAGACTACAATCCTCTTTTGAAAGAGGCTTTTTGGAAAGATACTTTTGAAAAAGCCTCTGTTGAAAAAGAGCATCTAGACTACAATCAGTACTTTCAAAAAAGCACAGTTTGCATTACATAGCACCTTTTTTCAAAGAGCACTTTCGAAAAACGGTGTTCTTCCTCGTAACACAAGGTTTTCCGCAGTCGAAAAAACTGCTGCGTTCTCTCAATTTACTTTTGAAAGAACATGGCAGCAGTCTAGACGCAGGGGAAGTTTTTTCCGAAAAAAGGCCACTTTTAAAAAAAAAAAAACCCTCTAGTCTAGACACACACCGAGCTAACTGTGGCAGAATGTCCTAGAGAGAGAGGAACTCTCGCAGATAGGGAAGTACCAGGCCATTTCGGCAGCCAGTGCAGATCCCAAAGCACTGGCATGATGTGCTCAAGGCAAGATACTCCACAACCAAGATGCCCCATTGTAATATTTTGTAGTTGGTCTTGAAGGATGTTGCAAAGTAGCTGTGGAATGAGTGTCTGAATGAGTGTGGAATGGAGTTCAAAACCAGGATGAACTCATGATAAAGCTGGAGATGTCATAACATACCATTTTTCTGTACTAGAATATAAATAACAATAGCAAAAGGAACTAGTCAGATTGTCCATTTGCATCACTGAACAGTTACTGACCATAGCAAAACTCAAATGAATAAATTCTTGCTGTACTCTCTGTAGATTTACCTCCAAGCAGCGCTTTGGTGATGGTATTAATTTTTCTTTCAGTTTTTTCGCATCTATAAGCAACAAGCCTAAATTTCTTTTCTGCTTGATAGCCAAAGCATCTTTATGTTCTCTGTGATATTTCTCGAGTTGTTGTGCAAAGAAATCAACACCTGTGTGTAATAAATTACAATGTCAAACTAAAAATAACAACTGACAGTTTGAAAAATGCTTTATCAAAGTGTATTCACAATTGCATTAGATAGCTGTAAACAGAACAAAACATATTTAGAACTTTGATTAGCTAAAGAGAAACCAATGCAAACCTCTGCTAGTCAATTACGCAATGCACTGAAACCACAGACAGAGCCATGTGTCAGTGTTTCAACTTCAAGGTTCAGCTTTAAGGGATAGACACAGGCCATTCAGTTCAGAGAAAACAACCTGAACCTTTGCTCAAAGCTAAAACCAAACCTCGTAAAATTTGTTCTGCAAAGTTTTGATTAACTTTTTTCTTTTTAAATGCATTACACTTGTGCTCACTGAATAAACAAACATAAAGGGAACGGGGATGTATTTTGGCTTATGAAAGGGCAGTGGGTAAGAAAAGACTATATCAGGCCAAGAGAAGAAATGTCTGCGTGTTTTGCTGATCTGGAGGCAGCATCCCTTGCATGGTACAGGTACCCACCTTGCACACCAGAGAGACCCCAAAATATTTATATTTCTCACTCAACATGCCAAAGCACTATATGACTGTGCCAGAGGTCATCACTCTATGAGACAGTGCTGTATCAGTGGCATCAATGCTTATGAAACCACAATGTCAGCTTGAAACATTAGCAAAGCATGCACCCTGGGTAGATGGATCCTTTTGAGGTCTAGATGTTGGAAGGATTTTAAAGCATGAGACCAGAGGCTCTTTGCAGACTCCTGTAACCCTTTCAGGAAACTGATTGATTTTGCATTCCTCCAAGTTTCACCTCACTGAAAAGCGACTTGCTTACAAAATCAAACAGAATACACCAAAGTGTCACAGCACGCTATTACTAGAGAATTGCTGTTTCTCTCACATGCATGGGGTGCATGCTCACCATGAGTGGAATCCACGTGGAGAATCATTTGAGAAAGAATTCATAATTCAGAGGGGCTCAGGTGCTGCCTATTCCTGACAGCCCGTTTCACTGATGAAACAGCAGAGCAGAGAAGAAAACGTGACCAGAGTAAAGGCAGCTTTGTGCCTATTGATATTAACAGTAATCCTGGCAGACCAGAGAACAGAGAGGAAGTCAAAAGGTGCAAAATAAAACTCAGATCCCATAATCGGATGTGCCCAGACCTCTGCCTCTGTTCCATGTGGATGCAGGGGCCATATGGAGTTCATTCCATTGTTACCTTGTGTACACATATGGTCATTGATTTGTTTGCGTGAGAGTAAATAAATATTTGAATCTATGAGTAATGCACAACTGCACTGGAAAGTGATTTAGGAAATAGCTTCGGGTTGAACCTCTCTAGTCCAGAACTCTCTGGTCCCGAAACATCTGTGGTCCGGCATCATTTTAATTAGCCTGATGTCCACTTTTCATGGGTGTGGCCAAGTTTCCTGTAATCCCATTAAAATTTGTTTACAGCCACCAGTCCTGGCTCTTCGTGTTCTGTGCTATTATTTAGTTCTAATTTACCCCAGAGCCCAGTAAGCAGTGGAAGTCTTGATAATACTGCTAGAGAGAATACTGACCTCCCATGGTCCAGAAAATTCTCTGGTTCGGAATTGGTCAGATCCCGAGGATTTCGGACTAGAGAGGTTCAACATGTATAACCAAATCAAGATCAAATATAGTAGCTATTTGCTGGAATAGCACAGAAAACAATCAATTAAATATTACTCTCTGCAAGAATATTAATTAAAAATTAGAGAAAAAGCCAACTTACCATGTTCCTGCTGCTTCAGAGCTTCCAAGTCAAGGCTTTCATTTTCTTTGAAAAATAACCGAAACTGTTCAAAAGTGTCTGCATATAAGCTGGCTGCCTCAAACGCTGAATACACAGTTTCCTAAATATTCCAAAAAAGGTCATTGTAAATAATAATTTTTGGACTAAATTAATGGAAGAAAGGAAAACAATTTTATATGAGACATTTCTTCTTTTTTGGACTTGAAAAGAAAATCTCTAGAGGAACTATAAGGTTCAGTGGATTTGTAATGGGACAGTGACTCTTATCACTAGGTTACTAATCTCCTTCTAGCTCAGATCCATGATGAATCAAAGAAGGTCTGGTTGGTGACCTGGTTAAAAAGGCATTTCCCTCTGGACAGATGCCCATGAACATAACTGGCATCTGTTAGTCCAATCTCAGCAAAGTATGGATTGGCATACAAAAAACTGTTTTATCACTTTTAGCCATCCTTAGGGCCTATGCCTTCAGAAAAGACTTGTCATTCACTAGTATGAATTGGATAATGTTTAACAACAACAAAATCTAAAATTGAAACCATTTGGTACCTTTATTTGCTGGATGATTGCTTGCAGATGTTTATCATCTTTAAACATAGTTGATAAACTTGGTCCTTCACCACAAGTCTTTTCTTCAATTTTTTTATTAATAATAGGACGAGTAAATGCATCGAAGTATTGATCAGGTACAAGATTAGCAACAGACAACACAGTTGTCTGAAACTGATTAATAATATGCTCAATACCTTCCTGTTAGACAATAGAAAACAACATCGATAACAAACACCCTTTGAATCCTTGTGAATTGTGAAACCAATCAGGTGTGAAACATTTCCAAAAATATAGTGCCTGAGTTACCTAGAGGTATACTGCAAAAGATCAATACATCTTACTCCTAGGCTCTCTCTATACTTATCCGGAGATTGACACTCCGGAAATTGATCTTCCAGGATTTGATTTAGTGAGTCTAGTAAGGACCTACTAAATCAGCTGCTGATTGTGCCCGTCAACTCCGATACTCCATGGGGTCATGAGGAGTAAGGGAAGTCAACGGGAGAGTTTCTCGTGTCAATCAACAGGAGAGTTTCTCGTGTCAATCAACGGGAGAGTTTCTTGTGTGAACCTCCTGCAATCAGGATGCCACAGAAATTCAACTTAAGGTATATGGACTCCAACTACACTATTGTCATAGCTGAAGTAACATCTCTCAAGTTGACTTTCTCCCCCAGTGTTGACCTGGACCCATACCAGCAAGAATGGGGAGTACTGGAGAGGCAATATGCTAAGCGCTGCTCTTACCAGATAAGAAGAAATGAGAAGCTAGATGGAGCCTCATAGACAGAGTAAACAGGGAGAAAACCCAGAAGAAATTCTCATTTCCTGATATAAAAAATAAAGTAGGAGCCAGCAGGCACTCTGCTTGTGGAGAAGAGCTTGTTCTCACTGACAACTGATGCAGAATATCACTCTTACTCCGCTGGGCATGAAAGAAGCAAATGTCCTGAAGAAAGCTATGCAGTCTCTGTTAGCTCAGGCAGACAAAGCTTCAAGCAGTAGCCCAGCCTGTGTTAGTGCAGTGAAAATAGAGATGTGGATGTTGTACTGGCAGAGGCTTGGGCTAGGCTCCAAAGGTCAAGCCCATCCCCAGGTTCCAAACCTCCACTGGTGCTGCAACATTCAAACAGCTCTTTTTAGGGCTTTCTTATGAGCTCCATTAGCACAAGTTGGTGGTAGAAAGCTCGCTCCTCACTTCAGTGTAGACGTACCCCGAGTGGCTAGTGTATTAGACAGCACTCTGTATTCCAAAGCGGAGACCATCAGGTAGAGAATATGTACAAATGTGGGACATCACCTGTGAGTGGCATGAACCCCTACTGAAGGGGTGGGGAACCTTTTTTGGGTTGGGCGCTGCTGACCTACAGGAAAAATCCGTTGGGGGCCGCGCATACATGAGACGCAAAAGAAGGAAGACCAAGCCATCACTGACATGGCCCCTAACTGAGGAAAAAGATACTTCCCACATTCCCCTCACACACCAGAACTTTGGCGGGGGGGGCGCCCAGGCTAGTATATTTTGTGTACTCTAGCACCACATAGGGATGGCAGGTGGACTGGAGCACCAGCACGGGCTCTTCAATGCTAGGGGGGAGCCCTGAGCCTTAGGGGCCAGATCCAGGCAAGCTGAGGGCCGCATCCGGCCTCTAGGCCTTAGGTTCCACACCCCTGCCCTAATGCCTTTCAGGTCCAGGGCATGTCATCGGTTCCATTTTTATAGTGAGAGAGACATAGAGCCCAGGCCTACAGGGATGGGTTCACTAGTATGCTACGACCATTTTGCACCATTCCAGTGACCAGGATTTGCAGCTATATTGTGTCTCTGGAATCCTTAAAAATTAGCAAGGCACACCAGTGAATTTGGCCCACAATCCTGACATTTCAGTTCAGTGAAACTGATTCAAACATTACACTAGAAGATAAATTGATATTTTTTTATAACAGACCTGGAAGTCATCCAAAGATGGTGCAAACAACAGTGCATGGATCTCCAAAATTATCTCAGAGAGAAACATGGGCAGAAATGAGTCTTCTTCATCCTGGCCTGACACAGTCTGAAACAATGAAGCCAAAACAATACACACCTCAAAAGATCAGGAAATATTTAAAACTCTTGGGTGAAAAACAAACACCACTTTTATTCTGTATGATCCTGCACATTACTGTACTTGTAGGCAGACAAGAGAATACTGAAAAAGCCCAGTTAAAAAGTTATCTGGGACCAACCCTGGATCACAGAAATCAATAGCTAATTTTCTATTTCTTCAATGCGAGCCAAACCAGTCCCTAAATTCTTTGCGAACAAAGACAGATTCTTCTGATTTTAATTAAATTGGATATAAAGAAAGATTAACTCTCTCAAAGTCAGTGGAATTACGTCAGTGTAAAACTGTGGTAAGCAAGACCAAAATCAAGCCTTTAGAAGAGTTCCTTCTCATACAGCAGCAATTTTTGCACTTCTTGCTATAGATCAGAAATTTGCCTCCATATATGCTGGCAAGTGCATGCTTTTGCTCCTTCACACCATCTCAAAAGGTGGCCTTGCAGAGAATTTGTGAATATATTAAAAGGGCACTAAAGGAAAAGTAAGGAAGAAGAGAAATCCCATACAAAGTCTGAGATCTCAATTCAGATATTCAAGAATTTTTCTAGTTTTAGGAATTTAAATACAAGTTTCTTAGCCAAGGGTGATTTGGCACATATGGCTTGCAAATGAGATGGAGATGGAAGGCGGCATTATAAATATGTAATTTTTGTTTCTTTACTGTGCTGTAAATACTATAGCAGCCACAGATTACATGTATCCATGCATTACATTAAAAACAATAACATTTCCAGGACAATGCAAGTTGAAAGTTCTTCTAAAAAATGATACTCAGCATATTAATGAGCAGCAAGAATTTAAACTTTCCTTTAAGCTTCCTTTAGAAAGCAGCTTATAAACAACAATATGCTACACGTGGGCTAAGATTGCAGTCTTTGGCCCTGCTGAGCACTCGGCACTTTTGAAATCAAGCCATTTATTTAAATGCCTGGACAAAAGGGATTTTATGCACTCATTTAAAAAAAAATGTTGGCCTGAGTTTTCACAAAGAAAATTACCTTCTTCTCAGAAACTTCAATTTTTTCCTCTGTATTCCACTTCTGTATGACATCTGCAGTAGGTGTCCTTTTCAGCTTCTCAGTAAGATAGTTCAAAAGAGTAGTAACTGATTTTACTGCCAGGACATGCATAGTATTCACTATTAGGTAGTCAGCGAGACGGATAAAGCTTGAGGGACAGAAGAAGTACGATACATGTTAATTTACAAGTTTCTAAGATAATAGTATTTGATTTTTATGGAAAGGTATATGTTACACTCTCAGAGCTAATTTCTGAAGTCCTCACTTATTATTTACACAGGCAAAATTTCTATTTACTTTTGCCTATATAAGGACAGAGTAAAAAATGAGTAAGGACTTCAGGATTTAGAACAACTATTTTCCAACAGACAAGAGAAAAATGCCTTTACTCCAATATACATTTAGGCTACGTCTGGACTGCAAGCCTCTTTCGAAAGAGTCTTTTTCAGAGGATACTTTCGAAAAAGCCTCTTTCGAAAAAGAGCATCTAGACTACAACCAGCATTTTCGAAAAAGCAAGCCGCCTTTTCAAAAGCGAGCACCCAGTTTGGATGCTCTCTTTCAAAAAAGCAGTTTGCATTTGATAGCACCTTTTTTCGAAAGAGCACTTTCGAAAAAAGGCGTTCTTCCTCGTAAAACAAGGTTTTCTGTGGTCGAAAAAACTGCTGGGTTCTTTCAATTTACTTTTGAAAGAACGCGGCAACAGTCTAGATGCAGGGGAAGTTTTTTCAAAAAAAGGCCATTTTTTTTTCGAAAAAACCCTGTAGTCTAGACACACCCATAGAATGCATAAATATACAGAAGAAAAAACCTTAAAGCTCTATAGATGAGAGATGGTTCTGTGATAAACTTACAGAACAATAGGACAAACTCTGAATTACTTCACATTTCATTTTAAACTCACAAAGCTGTGTCTAGACTGGCCAGTTTTTCTGGAAAATCAGCCGCTTTTCTGGAAAAACTTGCCAGCTGTCTACACCGGCCGCTTGAATTTCTGCAAAAGCACTGACTTCGGGCTGTAAGAAATCAGTGCTTCTTGCGGAAATACTATTCTGCTCCCGTTCAGGCAAAAGTCCCTTTTGCACAAAAGCGCCAGTGTAGACAGCTCAGATTTGTTTTCCGCAAAAAGCCGCGATCATGAAAATGGCGATCGGGGCTTTTTTGCGCATAAGTGCGTCTAGATTGGCACGGATGCTTTTCCACAAAAAGTGCTTTTGCAGAAAAGCATCCATGCCAATCTAGACGCTCTGTTCTGAAAATGCTTTTAACGGAAAACTTTTCCGTTAAAAGCATTTCCGGAAAATCAAGCCAATCTAGATGCAGCCACAAGGGTCTATAACAAAGATGGGTGAGTAAGATTCACCAATGCATTGGAGCAGATTGTGCTGCTCTGGGTTTATGTTGTATGTAACCAGAGTAGTGCAAAGCTGCTGAAATGTACTGGCCAATCTGGTTCAGCAATATTTACATTAGTGATAGCTTGGTTTCATCTACAAACATAGAATGTGCCCTCAAGAAACAATTTGTATTACGTAAATTCAGAGACAAAGCCTCAACTATAGGGATGTTCTGCTATAAGAATAAATAGGAATTTCTCAAAAAGTCAGGCAATTTCATTAGGCTTTTCATTAACTTCTTAAGACAGCTTAACTTCTTTCAAAATCAGATGCCCAAATAAATCTGTTAGTCTTCCAGGTGCCACAGGATTCCACAGCACTCCTCATTGTTTCTGCAGACACAAATTAACATGCCAACCCCTCTGATTATTTGATATGTTAGTGCTTACTAAATAACAACATGCACTGAAGCTTTTGATAGTTGGTCCTTGCAAAGATTAGATGAGCTGATGGACTGCTCCGATATGCAGTTATTATTTGCTTATGATTAGCCCAACATATACTAATGCATTGTCTGTAGGGAACAGAGATTATCTGAGGTGAAAGCATATAAAACAACTTTTGTTACAAACACCAAACACTAACCATGTTAATCTTCTACAATGAGACCTTTTGTTGGCCTGTTCTGTGTAGGTCATTTTGTCAGCTGTTTCGCCATAAAATTCTTTTTCAAAATGAGGAGCAATAAGGATACTTGAAGCTGCTAATCCAGTTACCATTGTTAGCTGTTCTGTACGGAGGATATGCAAACTTGTCAACAGAAATACTGTACAAACGAAGGTGTGCAAAACTGAAAATCCCACCCACTTACATAAAAGTGTCATTAAAACAATTCTACTTAAGTCAAAAGCTTGTATTGTTTGATGGCTAACCACATAGCACCGAAGAAACTCCACAAAGTTCAGAAATTCCCTGATGGAAGGATTCAGACAAAATTCTCCCTTCTTCTCAACCCCTGCAGGGAAAGCAATGAGCTCACTTCCCAAATGCTGTAGTTCTTCAAATATCTAAATCAGTGGTCCCAAACGAGGTGCCCACGGGCGCCATAGCACCCACCGAGGCATTTATGTGTGCCCGCCAGGTGACCAGGGCTGGCCTAAGACATTCTTGCACCCCGGGCCCTGGGCGTGTGGCACATGCGCAACCCCCGCCCCGGGCACGCAGTGCATGCACGGTGCCAGCCCCGGGTGTGTGGTGCATGTGCGGCCCCGCCTCCAGGCACCCAGCAGCCCCAAAAAGTTGGGGACCACTGATCTAAATGGATCTTGAGGGACCCTTTAAAGGCAAAGACATCTACACTGGCTTCTGGAAACCTGTACTTCTCCAATTCCTCATCAGTTTAGTTAACACAAAGATGGTACCTGTACAACAAACAAATACTGAGATGTACACTGCAGATTTATAGGCAGCACTATGTCAACTGGGCCCAAGAAGCTCCAGAGGTAATGGGTAGTAAGAGATCTGGGCCCAAACAGCACCAGAAATAATGGGGAGCAGAGGAAAGCAAGGAAATCCAATCAACTGCCATCCCCCACCACTAAAAAACCTTATAATGACAAGCCAAAGAATCTCTTAAACATCCTAAAGCAGAAGTGTCCACAGCAGCAAATGGAGAGCACTTCAGCAAGTACTTTCAGAATTCTTGTTTTTTCTAATTAAATTATTTTAAATAGCTATATTATAGATGAGTAGGCAACATTTCTCGGTAATGCGGAGGTTCTCAAGCTTTTTGGCCCGCAGCCCAGCCTACTCAACACAGTCCTTTCCGCAGACCACCACCCAACCACCCAAGATGACAAAAGAAGTGAAGGGGATGGAGGCGTGGGGTCTGGCCGGAAGGCTGGGTGCAGGAGTGGGCTCAGGGCGCAGGGGGTGTTGGTGGGAGGTAGAGTGCAACACACAGAGCTGCTTCTTCCCCCTACAAGCTGGATTCAGCCCGTGAGGCCCGTGGCTCCCCCCACCTGCAGCAGGAAGCCAGTGCTGCTGCTCCAACTTCGCAGGGAGGGGGCCGCAGGGTTGATGCACCAGTGTGGGGGGGGGGTTGAGTCCACACACACACCACACTTTGAGAACCACTGCTGCAAAGCTATGGAAGCCAAAGGAACTACACTGATTTGTGTAAGACGATGCATAGCATTTAACAAAGTTGTCCTTTGGCTTTTTTAAAAAAATTACTCAGCCATTTGGATTTAAAACTTATGAACCTCATGCACCAAGTAAAGTGTGAGTGAGGATGATGGATGGGTTCTTTACTTTGGGTTGGGATTTATTTTGTTTTGTTTTGTATTTTGCTTCCTATCTTGGGAGCTTTGGGAGCAGGTGAGTAGTAAGGGGGTTTTTTTGGTTTGGTTTGGGGTTTTTTTGCTTGCGTGTGGTCCCCGACGGATTTTTCTGTGGGTCAGTGACCGCTGACTGAAAAAAGGTTCTCCCCCTCCCTGTTACAGAACAATGAGGGTATGTCTACCTTGGAATAAAAAGCCTTTGGCAGGGTCATGCCGGGTCTAAGTTAGCCAATTTGGGCTCACAGGGTTAAAGTTCCTGTCACTGGAAATCAGAATGCACCTGGATTTATCCTCATGTAAATTCAACTCTTTAGTGAGGCTTACTCCAATCAGTGAAAGCTGGGTGCTAATATATGATTTTTGAGGTGACCTCTTATGGGAATTATTTGATGTTATTTATTATCACACGGACTATAAATTAGGGATGTGAATGGTTAATCAGTAAACATTACCCTTACTAGTTATGGTAATGCTTACCAATTGTGCTTAACTGGCAGGGGCCGGAGCTGAGGGGCGCTCCAGCCCAGCCAGAGCAACCCCTGTATGCTGTGGGCATGGCCAGGGGATGCTGGGAGCTGCCCCCATTTGCAGTTCATCCAGGTTGACCCTGCCACGAAAGTGGACTGCTCCAGTCCAGCCATGGAGAGCAGCAGGGTTACTGGCCACCCACCCCGTTAGTTGATTAACTGTATTTTAAATAAACAGGATTTTACATCCCTTCTATAAGGAGACATGGAAGAAGAGAATCCTAAAAGATGCACCTTCTCCACAATACAATACATAGCCTGAATTGTAATCCCCTGCTTACCAGATTAAAGGGAAACTCCTAGACTCATTCGACAAACAGTTCAGGGGCCTGGCATATAGGACAAAATGCACTGCAAAGCTCCACACGTCCTGCAGTTATTTTCTAAATGCCTAGTTTCTTTTCATACCTGAACTGCCTGGTTCATAAACATAATCATCAGGAGTAAATCCAGATTCAAGCAGGGCAGTTCGACATGCACTTCTAACAACTTCTTTCGCTAGTTCTCTGAACTCTGCTAGACGGCTTGCCACCTGAAAATTACAGTACACATAAACAACCATGTACACCTAACTTCTAAAAGAACACGTAAGGAACTTGAAACCAATGAAAAGTGTTTACCTCATCCAGTTGTTTGAACTGAGTGCTTCTAAATTCCTCCAGCGTGTATGTGTAACCTTTCTCAATGCGACAAAGTCCCATGTCACTGATTCGGTAACACATTTCTTGAACATTAAGCACCGCAGGTCGCAAAGACTGCCAAATAACAAGAACAGTTTATCAAGAGATAGTTCCAAATAAAATCCAAACAAAGGCTTCAGTTTAAGACTTTTTGGAAATTATTACTTTATTATCTTATTTTATGTTTGATAATATAGAAACAGGATTCCTACTAGTTGATCCTAAATTAGGACAGAACTCCCTTTGAGAAGACTCATCCATATTTTAGCAATTACATTAGCTTTCTACTTCTGCCCTACTCTGCGCTGATTAGGCCTCAGTTGGAGTAGTGTGTCCAATTCTGGGTACCACATTTCAAGAAAGATGTGGAGAAATTGGAGAGGGTCCAGAGAAGAGCAACAAAAATTACTGAAGATCTAGAAGACATGAACTATGAGGGAAGACTGAAAGAATTGGGTTTGTTTAGTTTTTTAAAATAGAACACTGATAGCAGTTTTCAAGTACCTAAAAAAGATTGCTACAAGGAAGAGGGAAGAAATTGTTCTCCTTGAACTCTGATGATAGGACAAGAAGCAATGGGCTTAAATTGCAGCAAGGGAGGTTTAAGTTGGACATTAGGAAAAACTTCCTAATTGTCAGGATGGTTAAACATGAATAAATTGCCTAGGGAGGTAGTGGAATCTCTATCACTGGTGATATTTAAGAGCGAGACAACATCTGTCAGGGATTATCTAGATGGTGCTTGATCCTGCCGTGAGGGCAGGGGACTGGACATGAGGACCTCTTGAGGTCCCTTCCAGATCTACTGTTCTATGAGTCTATGATTCCTTCAAAAATATCATCATTAGTAAATACATACAGCATTAACAATGAACAAGTTCTCCTGCAAAGCTTTCCGGCATGCATTGATCTTCTTGGAACGGACATTTTTCCTCCATTCTGTAAATGATTTCAGTTTGCAAAAGATAGCAAATATGGGAATCTTAGTAAATGTTTTGTGATACAGATATTCCTGCTCCCAGCGATCTAGTGGCATGAATTCAACTTCTCCATCACAGGTGTGGATAACTGCATTCTGGCTAATGGTGTAGTAGTCATTTTTGTTGATGCAGTCATAGCTTACAATTCTAAAAATAAATGCAAAATTGATTTTAACACAGGACACAAATGAAGTCATCCATCTCCAGTAAAATGTATAACAAAGCTAAGGAGGCAGTAGGCCCATTAAGATGGCTTTGTGACCGTCTTCTGCTGCTAGCTGCAGCAGGAGCAAAAATCTGTTCTCAGTTGTCTTTCCAGTTCCCCCTTTAGGGGCTGATTCTCCACTGTAATACAGTGAGTAGTTTGGGTTTTTAAATTCCCAGCTTGTAGTAAGAGGGTAAGGAGGGTGCAGCATTTTTTAGTTTCAGACCAGAGTACTAAAGGACAATCCATCAGCGTTCCAGTTATTCAAATTCAACATCACAGCCACCATCCTACTGAGAATAACTGAATAGGACTCCTTTTCCAAGTTTTTCAATACCATCCTTTAAAATCAGCCCAAAGGATTTCTGTAGAATAACACGAAGCTCTCCCATTACACCTGAAGTTTAGTAAGCTTCCTCCGTAATACTGTCAGCACAAGGAGCCAAAGAATCCAGAAATTAAATACTACTATTGGAACAGTGATGTGAATTTCTTTCAATTCATGTTGTCTTCATTAGGGCAGGTCTCTATTATACTAGAAGGTTGACTTACAGTAAATAACACGTAAATACGTAAATAACATAGCTGGAGTCCGATGTACCTTAAGCTAAATTTTGCCAGCAGCCCCACAGTGGGAGATCAATGGGAGAAACTCTCCCATTGTCTTTCCTTACTCCTTGCAACTTCAAGGAGTTCTGGAGTCGATGGGAGTATTCTCAGCATTTGATTCAGCGGGTCCTTACTAGGCCCATTAAATTGAATGCTGAAAATCAACCTCTGCAGAATCAATCCTCCATTTATTATAGACATGGCGTTAGCTTTTCTGGAGAAAGTACCCAGTGATTAACAAGAGACACTATTTGTAGCTAGATGGCTATTCTTCATCCTTAATGGTTTCCTTGTATCTATCATATTACAAGTGCCAGATAAAGTACTAGTTCCTCAGCAGGTATATACCAGTTTATAGCAACTAAAGGGATCTGGACCAATCCATCAATCACTCTACAGCCAGACTGTCATTAAGATATGGACTTCTTGGGCTTGACAACACTCCTGAAACAGGTGTTCATCTCCTTATCTGATAACACACGTTTTGCTATATTGATAACCTGTGAAGAATATAGGCCTAATAGTCTCTTTATATCTGACTACAGTTATATTAAAAAACTAAAAAGCAACTTTCTGAAAGAGAGACACTTTAAATAACAAGTCTTTTTACAGAATTAAATGTTAAACTATAAAGAGAAAAATTAAGCAGAAGACAATAAGCCAGTATTTTTAAAACAGATGCATAAATATATAAAAATTGCTCATTACAAATTTATTGTTAAAGTTTGGATGCGTAATCTGAATAAACAGCTTGAAACAAAATAACTCACTTCAAATTAAAAGTGTCATATTTAATTGATGATTTAGGAAATGCTGGAGTCATGTACAGGAATCCCAGATTTTGGTTTTCACATATTATTTTAATGATTTTCAGAGGGTCTGTAATGTTAGCTTTAATTACATCTTCTGTGTCGTTAAAAGCATACAAAGGTGGAGAGGCAGAAGATTTACAGGCACTTGGCTTTAGAGCAGTACGTAGCTGTTTGGGAGGAGAAGGAGCTAGTATCTTACTGGGGCTTTGCTGCTGTACCTTAACATAAAAGCAAAATAAAATATCAGTTTGCAGAAAAAATACATCCGGCCTAACAAAATATCCTTATGTCATGACAATGCCTTTTTATAACATCTTTAATTCAAAGACATTAGTAATTGCAAATTAATATGTAAATATAAAATCAGAGTCCAGAGAAATGAATGTGAGGGGCAAGGAAAGAAGGAAGCAATCCCTTGAGAAAATCCATTCTACAGGTTAATGCTGGATCTAAGTCTCAGTAAAGATGCTTGTCAGGGCAAAACTGAGAACAGAATAAATACAACTATTTTTCTCATGGTTAAACCATGCTCAGAGGCTGTTGCCTTTCTAGCACTGTTCTCTATACCTGTCCTTTCAGCCTGAGGGCAACTGGTCAGAAGTGACCACCCTTTCTTGAGTTTCCAGGTAATCTCAAAAGCTGAGGCATCACTGGGATGCCATGGAATTGTGGGAGTACAATGAAGGGCACTGGAATCAGAGTATGGATGGACCTGGTCAAACTCCCTGACACTGCTCTTTGTGAGCCAGACAGATTCCCATGAACAAAGGCAGATGGCTCCTCTCTTTGCAGGTTCTAGAAGTGGGAGCCTGTAGTGCTTTCAAACACCACAGAATCTCAGCCCCTCCAAAGGAAAATTTGTCTCACTTTCCCTCAATCTATTTCCTACAGGTTTCTCTGAACAGACCAATGTGGGCCAGAGTAATTATCTCATGTTAAAAGATTGCCCTCCTTCGTTACACAGAAACTCCACTGACTTCAACAGAAAGAGAAGTACACGAATGGGGGGCCCATCGCAGCAATGATTTGGGTCCTTAGTCAATACCTTTTCTCGTACATGCTCTGGAAGCTTGGCTAACGAAGCCATCGGTTCCATGGAGGCAGGCCATTTTCTTTTCTCCGCTGCGGGAGAAGGCTGTAGTAATGCACAAGCTAATAAATGCTCTCTGTTCTTTTGGTAGATGTATTCAGGCTGTTTATGATGCTGATATACCTTTAAAACAGGCTTGAGGGAGGAAAATATATGAAGTAGAGGAAATTCATGATTAATTTGAAGGACAGGAATAAAAAAAGTAAAATTGCATAGTCATCTGTTAGAGTTGCATGCTTTGCTGCTGAGCTGGCAGGTGAGAGGAATGGCACAAACATTGTGTCTATCCCTGGACCTGCAATGTTATCAGATACTGACCCTCAAGCTACATTTGATTGTTAATTTGCCTGAATCACTCCTCTTCCTCACTGTTTTAACAATTTCATATCAACAACAACTTCCCCTTGACAAGATTAATTTGGTGCTGCAGGCAGAGGAGCCCAAGTAGTACCCTTATGGTATTAGAAGTAACTTAGTCAGGCAACATTCATACTTTCAATATCCTCAACCATACCCATAAAGCCTAACCTTACAACCACGGCCTGTCTTGATCGTCAATCCCCTTAACATTGCCCATTTCCTGCTGTCGGCAGAAAAGTCTCATTGCAGCCCAAATGGGCACAGTTTAGATGAACTGGAACTGTTAATGGGACAAAAATAAATGATCTTGCCAGAGCCAGGTATAGTGTGGAGAAAGCCATGAACTGTATCTGTAGCCTTGTGCCTATTCAGCCTGACCACAAGCAGACCCAGTCCTGAGCCCACTGCCCACAGTCAAACCACCTCAGTTCTGACCTGCAGTTTCCTTTGTTGACTCAACCAATGGGGTTAAAATATGCAAATGAAGTGGAATAAGTGAGTGATGAGTGGCAGAATTGCCTATGATGTCACAACGTTCCTCTGCCTGCAACGCTAAATGGGACTGTATGGCTATCAGGTCTTTCTCGTGTTCTGGTTTTCCTTCTGAGCATAGAAACGTGGACTGAAAGGACCTTTGCTAATCAGCATTTTTATTAGATGAAGATGTGCTTTTAAAAAAGTGCTAAAGAAAGCTGTTGTATTTTCATGTATTACTTAATATTGCATATATGAAAAATTGCAGGCCAGATCCTCAGCAGGTGTAGATCACTATAGTAACGGGCACTTCAGTTAAGTTACAACAGCTTTCAGAGGCTAAGGATTTGGCCCAGCATTTCTAGTTTTGTAGAAGAATAGGCATATACATCTTACTAGAATTAATGACTGAGGGACAAAAGTTCATTAGATTGTAAATGTAATAGCTCTCTTTGACAGATCAGTTTAAAAATCATATTTCTCGTGAACGTACCAATGGTTCCAGTTTTATGGCTTGCTGTCTGTTTCTTGCTTTTTCTTGTGATTTTGTGCTATGTATGAATTTAAGACTTTGAGGATTTGCTGCTATCTGTTTTGGTGCCATACAAACGAGTCTTTCCCTCAGCTTACTAGCATTAGTAACTGAAGCAGGAAGTTCAACACTTGTACATTCATTGTTTCTGCCATTTACAGAAGATGCTGATGCAGTTAAAGAAGGCAAGGACAGCTTCTTAGACATAGTTACCTAAAAATAAAGCATACATGATTGTTATAGTAAAACAAAGGATGGTGTATCCTTATTGCAAATCTAAATCCATTTGGTTGCAGAATTTAAAATGTCCAAATATTAACCAACTATCTCAAAGAAAAAAAATTATCACAGCCAACTAGACTTTAATATAGAAGCGAGATACCAACCTGGTAGAGGCTAGAGAGGATTTTGAAAATACTTGGTTGAAAGATATTACCTTCCTCAAATCCTTCCTCTTCTCTATATTTGGAAATTATTCTAATGAAGTTATGTAACAATTAAGACACTGCCCTTCCCTCCTCAAGCAGCTCAAGGGGGCAGGGTTGAAAGGCAGATAGCCACTCTTACATCATTTATCTTCTGGTCCACCAGAAGACCACTCATTGCAGGTCCACAGTGATTAGGATCTCATTGCAGAGAGGTATTGGGCAAGAAGAAGAACAAGCCTAAAGGCATGGTGACATATTTCCTTCCTACCCAAACCTCAGCAGGGATTACATAAATAAATTAATGAGTCACAATTGGTAGCTAATTGGTATTTACTCATTCAAACTCCCTTGTGGCAGGCGTTCTGACCATCAAGAACCCAGAGGAACTGAACAGAGCAAGAATGAATTCACAGAGTCCTATGCAGATACAAGATTTGTATCTGTATGCAATCTGTGGTCCGCAACCATGGTTCAAGAGCTCTTTGATTTTTGGCCTAACCGCCTTCCCTTTCCATTCATCAGTTCTGTGGAGGTGTGAGGAGGATAATATAAAACAAACAGCATTCTTTCTTTTCCCTCAGACCACATCCTTTATTCCATTTCCAGCACTCCACCTAGCCAGTTTCAGGAGATCTGAAATGTGGATACAAAAGAAACGAGGTGGAAAGAGCAAAGTGTCTCAGGTTTTGGAGCTGTACATGTAACAAGTACCCCAGTACTACACAAATTCAAATTGTTCCATTTTCCATGGATTTTAACCAGGGTAGAGGCAGCACAGGAACTGGGAACCATACAAACCAATTTTAAAAGTTAAAACTAAAAAAGAAGACCACATTGATTTCAATTGGGCACTGTTACTCTTCAGGAGAAATACACAACAATTTATAAATCAATTTCACTGTAACAAGAGATCTTGGCAAATATTCAAATTCTCCACCTCTACTAGTGGTGGAAAAAAATTCACCCTATTCCCACTGGTAAATTGGCTAACCAATTCACTCTCATTGAAGAGAACTTTATTCAGATACAGCAGAGGAGGAAGAGGATATGATCCTCTTGAAATGCAGATAATCTGGTATAGGGATTACATACAATGAAGCACCATCACAGTAGCCTCCCCAGGAATTGAAATTAGGGGGGTGTTTGAATTTACATGGGGGGATGTCAGGGCCGATGAGGGGTGGGACAGTGAGGGGGAAGGTGGGCTGTACGGCACCATAGTTCATAAAACTGGGGGGAGGGGTGTTTGGGTAAATTCAGGGGGGGTATACACCACCATGGGGGGGGGGGAAATCCCTGGCACCATGCACACCTATAGCTTTATAAAAGGAATAATAATCACAGGCCTGGGTGAAAGTTAATGAGTGTGCTAACCACTCTTTTTCATGCTAAATGTGGAGGCAATTAAATCTGGTTGCAGTGTAAATAGCCAGAGTCAATAGGAGCTGTAAGAGACTCCATGGAGAAACTGAATCAGGCTAGGCCACTTGATCCCAGCTGGTTGCAAGCACAGAGGGACAGGGTTTGTTTGATAAACTGTGTGGCTGTGTCTAGACTGGCCAGTTTTTCCGGAAAATCAGCCGCTTTTCCAGAAAACTTGCCAGCTGTCTACACTGGCCGCTTGAATTACCGCAAAAGCACTGACTTCCTACTGTAAGAAATCAGTGCTTTTTGCAGAAATACTATGCTGCTCCCATTCGGGCAAAAGACCCTTTCGCGCAAAACTTTTGCGCAAAAGGGCCAGTGTAGACAGCTGAGATTTGTTTTGCGCAAAAGCGCGTCTAGACTGGCCACGGACGCTTTTCCGCAAAAAGTGCTTTTGCAAAAAAGCGTCCGTGCCAATCTAGACGCTCTTTTCCGAAAATGCTTTTAACGGAAAACTTTTCCGTTAAAAGCATTTCCGGAAAATCATGCCAGTGTAGACGTAACTGTGTTCAGGAAAACTGGACTTTATATATCTTTTTTGTAAACCAACATGTTTGCACCAAAGCAACACCTCACCCATATAGTCAGTTTCTCCTCCCTGAAACAAGCCAGCCAGGCTTCCCAGGGGGGTTAATCCTTGGGCCAAAGGGGGCAGTCAGATGGAGCTGAACAGACTGTTTTTGTGAGATGCCCATGGGTTGGCCTCTAAGGGACTGGACAGGCTGCATTTCTATTCTATGCAGGAAGGGGGGTGCTACCCAAAAACAAAAGCCATAAGGAAGTTGTGCCAAGGGTCACTGTTCCCATCTTCCTCTAAATTACCCCCCGGGGCCAGAGATGCGAGAGGGTCCTGGCCAGGGCTGTCCTGGAAAGGGGGTGTG